TACTTAATTAGCCATTTTATTGCGTATATTAGATTATGGACTCATAACTATTAATAACAGCTACACTTTCTTGTAACCGCTGATCACCTCAGCTAGACTTAAATGTTCCTAAATCTTTCTAGTTATGCATGAGTTATTTGTACTTCTGCGTATGTGTGATTGTTCCCATTTCAACAGAACCTATTTGTATTTTAGTTTTCCCTGGTTAAGTCCTACAGGCAGCTTGCTGTGCCTAGACAAAAAAGTGTTAGAGCAGGAAAAGATTTTGATTTTAAATAGCAAGCATCAAGGAGAAAAGTTTTAAAACTTACTAGCTGGGAAGGGTGGGAGACCTCAGAGAGGAGTAAGAGATTATTCCCGATAAGGAGGAGGCAGAGGAAAGATAAGCTTAAGATTGAATTGATCAAAATGTTCACCTTGGAAAATTACAAGAAAAAGTTGGAAAGGTAGTTTATTTATTTTTTTTAAGATTTATTTATTCATGAGAGACACACAGAAAGAGGCAGAGACATAGGCAGAGGGAGAAGCAGGCTCCCTGTGGGGAGCCCAATATGGGACTCGATTTCAGGACCCCAGGATCATGCCCTGAGCTGAAGGCAGATGTTCAACCACTGAGCCACCTAGGTGCCCCTGGAAAGGTAGTCTAAATCAACATGTAGAAGGCACTTAATGACATATTAAGGGTTTTGGATTTATTTTATAATAGCTGAGATGCTTTTGAAGCATTTTGGGCAGGGGGATGATACGAAATGGTATTTTAGAAATATTAATTAGATGATATTATGATAAGTGAGGGAAGAGAGGCTAATTAAAGCATTCGATACGTTTAAATGAAAAACAATGGCCAACATTATAGATAGCAGTGGCAGGTGGAATGGAAAGGAAGTTGTAGATGTGAATATTCACTTGAACAAAGGTTTGTGGGGAGAGAGTTGAAGTAGAAATCATCATGATTCTAAAAATGAATGTAAAAATCACTACTGAAAAAGAAAAAATAAAAATCACTACTGAGGGATCCCTGGGTGGCACAGCGGTTTAGGGCCTGCCTTTGGCCCAGGGCGCGATCCTGGAGACACGGGATCGAATCCCACGTCGGGCTCCCGGTGCATGGAGCCTGCTTCTCCCTCTGCCTGTGTCTCTGCCTCTCTCTCTCTCTCTCTCTCTCTCTCTCTCTCTCTGTGTGTGTGTGTGACTATCATAAATAAAAAATTAAAAAAAAATCACTACTGAAAGATAATTTAAGTGCATACAATTAATTCATTTTAATTGTATAATTTTATGGATTTTGACAGATGTACACAGTAGTATAACCACTACCACAAACAAGATACAGAACAATTTCGTCTTCCCAGAAAGTTCCCTTTTACCTCTCTACAAATAATCCTCTCCCTTCAGCTCTTGTCCGTGCCTGGCAATGTCAGATCTACTTCATGTCATTATAGGTTTTTTGTTTTTGTTTTGCCATTTCTAGAAGTTTTCTGTAAATGGGAATCTTAAAGTCTTTTGTGTTGGGCCCCTTTCACTTAGTATGAATTCACCCATGTGTTACATGTTATCAACAGTTCCTTCCCTTGTATTGCCTGATAATCCTTTTATATGGATGTACCACAGTTTGTTTATCCATTCACTGGATAATGGATATTGGGTGTTTCCAGTTTTTGGCTGCTACAAATAAAGGTGCTCTGAACATTAGCATACAGGTCTTTTGTGAACATACATTTTCATTTTTCTTGACTAAATATAAGAGTGGGATTATTAGGTTATATGGTAAGTATATGTTTAACTTTATAAGAAATCCCCAACCTTAAAAAAAAAAAAAAAAGAAATCACCAACCTTTTTAGAGTAGCTGTATCATTTTGTACCAGACATGTAGGAGAGTTATTAGCTCCACATCCTTGTTTGGTATCATCAGTCTTTTTTTAATTTTAGCTAACAGTGGAGTTTTAAGGAAGAAAAACAATGAATAAAATGGAAATGTTAAGTGGGAGAAGCTAATTTGGAGGTGACTGACAGGGGGACATTGGTCTCAATTTTTGGTATTGAGTCTAAGGTGCCTCCAAGTGGGAAAATGACCCCAGAGATTCTTTAACTTATCTTTTTTTTTCCCTAAGATTTTATTTATTCAGGAGAGACACAAAGAGAGAGAGGCAGAGACAGGTGGAGGGAGAAGCAGGCTACATGCAGGGAGCCCAGTGTGGGACTCGATCCTGAGACTCCAGGATCATGCCCTGGGCCAAAGGCAGGCGCTAAACCACTGAGCCACCCAGGGATCCCTTCTTTAACTTATCTTCTAGAACTTTTTTTTTTTAAGGTTTATTTATTTATTTGATGAATGCAAGTGGTGGAGGGTAGATGGGGCAGGGGAGAGGGAAACTCTCAAGGAGACTCCCTGCTGAGTGCGCGCACACACACACACACACACACACACACACACACACACACACCCATGACTCTGACTCCATACTCCATCCCACTACCCTGAGATCATGACCTGAGACGACATCAAGAGTCCTACACTCAACAGACTAAGCCACCCGAGCACCCTTATTTTATAGAACTTTTAATAGAGGGGCACTTTGAAGTCAGATAGTCATGAGCTTGAAGATTAGCTCAATTATTTCACCTGTGATTGTAGATTATTTGCCCTTTCCAAGCTTTAGCTTTCCCCATTTGCCAAAAGTGAAATAATAGGTAGTCACAGAATAGGTGCTAATACAAAGTTAGCATTCAGTGAGTCCATCATCATCATCATTATGATTGGTACTCATATATTTTTTATACCCCCCCCTTGGGACTTTCTTGCAAATCTCTGAATTTTTTTTTCCTTCCTAACTGATTTCCCTATCTGCTACACTCCCCACTATAACAGCAGGAGTGATTTTTGTTAAGCACTAATTATCAGTTTACTGCCCTATTCTAATCCTTTTAGTGGCTTCCAAAAGTGATTACTTCCACTCATCTTTGGGCATAAACTTCTCAGGAAAACTTTGATTAAGTCCTTTGTTAAATTGGGCAGCCCCGGTGGCTCAGCGGTTTAGCGCCGCAGTTTAGCGCTGCCTTCAGCGCAGGGTGTGATCCTGGGGTCCGGGGATCCAGTCCCACATCAGGCTCTCTGCATGGAGCCTGCTTCTCCCTCTGCCTGCGTCTCTGCCTCTCTCTCTTTCTCTGTGTCTCTCATGAATAAACACATAAAATCTTCTTTTTCATAAAATCTTTTTTTAAAAAAAGTCCTCTTTTAAAAAAGTCTGGTACCACCTATGTTTTCCTTTCTACTGTTTATCATTACTGTAATTATTTATTTAATCTTCTGTATACAATACTATAAAATCCATGAAGACTGGTACTTGCTAGGTACTTAATTTGTTGAGTGGATTGTCTTGTTTTAAGTTTCTTAAGACATGCCTAGGTGGCTCTGTGGTTGAGTGCCTGCCTTCAGATCAGGATGTGATCTTGGGGTCCTGGGATTGAGTCCTGATTCGGGCTCCCTGCATGGAGCCTGCTTCTGCCTCTGACTGTGTCTCTGCCTCTCTCTCTCTCTCTGTCTCATGAATAAATAAATAAAATATTTTTAAAAAGCAGTGTTTCTTAGGGCAGGACTTTTCATACTTACTTTTTTTTTTTTATAAATATACTGTATTTTCCTTTTTGTTTTTTAATTTTATTTATTCATGAGAGGCACACAGATTAATCCAGATTAGTCGGGCATATAATCGTGGGTTTTTTTTTTTTTCTGAGCTTCCTATCATATTCCATTGATCTATGTGTCTTTTTTTTTTTTTTTTTGGTCAGTACCATACTGTTTTGATTACTATAGTTTTGTAGTATAACTTGAAATTTAGGATTGTGATACATCCAGCTTCATTTTTCTTTTTCAAGATTGCTTTCACTATGGGGTACCTGAGTGGCTCAGGGATTGAGCCTCTGCCTTTGGCTCAGGTTGTGATCTCACTGTACTGACTGCGCCAGCCAGGTGCCCCTAAAATACTTTTTATTTAAAAAGATTATAGACTCACATGAAATTGCACACATAGTACAGAGAATTCCCCTTGTACCAATGACACTTTCTTCCATTGGTGATATCTTACAAAACTACAGTTATCAAGAGTAGGAAATTGATATTGTCACAATACAATTAAGTAGACTTCAGATCTTACACCAGTTTTTGCATGCACTCATGTTTCATTTTTCTTGTATGTCTAATGTGTGTAATTCTGTGGTTTAGAAAATTTACGAATAGTTTGGATTTACAAAAAAGTTGCAAAGATAATAAGAGACTTCCCATATAATTCTCACTCACTCTCTCCTATGACATCTTAGGTTTGTATAGTAGATTTGTTACAGCTAACAAACCCAGCGTTAGTATATTCTTATTAATTAAGCTGTATGTTTTATTCAGATTTTACTAGTTTACTCCTAATGCCCTTTTTATCTACTGGATCCAATCCAGGATACAATATCACATTTAGTTTTTTGTCTCCTTAGATTCATCTAGACTATGACAGTTTTTTAGATTTTTCCTTGTTTTTAATTACCTTTACAGTTTTGAGAAATACTGGTCAGTTATTTGTAGAGTGTCCCTCAATTTAGTTTGCCTGATGTTTTTCTCATAGTTTAGTTTGTTTGATGTTTTTCTCATGGTTAACTAGGATTATAAGCTTTTGAGAGAAGACCACAGAGGTGCCATTTTTATTGCATCATATCAAAGGTACATGTTATCAATGTGAATTAATCATGTTGATGTTGAACTTGATCACCTGGCCGAGGTCATGTTGGCCAGGTTTCTCACTGTAAAGTTACTTTGTCCCTTCCCTTTCATACTCTACTTTTTGAGAGCAAGTCCCTAAGCACAATTTACATTCAAAGTTTGGGAGGACTTAAATTCAGCCTCTTGGAGGGGGAGATTGTCTACAGAAATTATTTGGAATTCTGACAGGTATTTTTTAAGTTTATGGAAACAGCATGAGAACTGCCATCAGTCTAACATATCTGTTTTTTGCAGGGTGGGAAACCCCGTAAACACCGGAAGGATCGGCTACAAGATTTAATTGATATAGGCTTTGGCTATGATGAGACAGATCCATTTATTGATAACTCAGAGGCTGTGAGTAATGTATCTTTAATATAGCAGCAATTCTTTGGGATAGAAGTCAATGATAAAGTTACTAAAACAGTTCAATATTTGTTTTTACTAACTAATCCTCTGTTGTACATCTAAATTGTTTCACTTTTTTGTGCTTACAAATGATTGAACATCTGTATACATTTATCTTTGTGTACTTGAGTAAATATGTAAGATAATTAGAGAATGAAAATATATGTATAGGATAAGTTTCTATCAGTGGGATTTATTGATCAAGGGTGTTTATATCTTGAATTTTTATTGATATTCCCAAACTTGGGCAGGTGCATTTCCAAATGACTTCTAGATAAGAACCCATACGAATTTGAAGATTGGAGCTCCTGGATTGAAGTTAATCTGGCAGACATCTTTAAAATGTACTTTTTTTTTCTTTTTATTGCGGCCAAGCATTATTACATTGGTGGTGATTGAATGCCAGCCTTTATCTCTGTCTGTTTTGATTAAGTCCTACAGCTTTTCCCCTGGAGTCGTCTTTCTCTTAAAAAATGAGGAATTTAGGAAAGCATTTAAGGACTGTAGTATTCCATTGACCACATAGCAAATGAGTGAGGGCATATCATATTTAGGGGTAGATAAGGTATATGTTCTTACATTCTTAGTGCACTAGAGTAATCTAAACCCTGACTTATGATATCCTCTGCGTTGTACAGTGATTACTTAGAATATACAAAAAGTGATGCCTAGGTAAGCATTATAGTACCACCCACAAATTAGTATTTCTTCTTCCTCTTCTTTTCCTCCTTGGTAATATAGATGATGATAAGGCATATAGTGGTAGGAGACTGCTGGGTAGAACTTTCAGCAGGAGGCATAGTGGATACCCTGTCATACTCCCAAGTTATTTTAGTGTCCTGACATAAACTGGTTTACCATATCAGGGGCAACCTGTCTATAGGAGTAAAATACTTACAATATTTTGGAGTAGAGAAGTCGTCTTGTTACCAGAAAGGTTGAGAAACCTTTTTGTAGGTTAAGGGATAGGATGTTTTTAGGAGTCTTGACCTTGACATGAAACACAAGTCAGAATTCCTAGATTCTAGACTTAACTAGGTTTCTAGAGATTTTAAGCAAATCTTTTAGCATTACCCAGTTTTCTCTGCTACAGTCAGAATATTTGAATAAAGTGTTTTTCAGACTGACTTTTGGAACCCATAACTGGGTTATATATCAATTTAGAGAGTATGGCCAGCATTTTTAATGAAAATGAAGTAGAATAGAATAGAAGCTATCATAGTAAATCATAGTAGATTATGTGAGGTTTTTTTTATGTGTATATGTGTGTGTGCATGCACTGGGTTTTGATGCGTGAAGTATTTTCCACTTGGGTGGTGGTGAACAAAATTTGAAAGCTACTGTTTTAATAAATAAGGACAAATTTTGTAGGTTAAGTTGCATAAAAATTTTATAATTAGTTATTGACATTTAGAGGCCAAGGTTGGTTCCTGTTTTGTAAGAGGAAATTGAATTAGAATACAGCTTGTTCATTGACTTGCCAAATAATTTTGCATTATTATCTTAAACAGATTATTGGGTTCTTTTTATGAAATATTTCAGACATTAAAAAAAATATTTTAGACATAAGACAATTATAATGCAACCAAATGATTTTCTGTTCTTTTCATTGATTGTATTACCAGTAAGCTTTTGTTGTTTGTAATTATTTGATAGTGAAAATAATCCAGTTCTAAATAACTGTCAGCCTCATGTACTGCCTATTACGATAGATACCTGAAAATAAATGCTTTTGAAGATTATGTTTAGTCTCACTGATACCGCCAAATTTTGTAAAGACTGAAAGGAAAAAAATTTTTTCTTATTAATAAATAGTAATGCCAGGCACGAGTTACACTTTTATTTAGGTTGTTTCTTTTAAATTTCACTAGAACTTCCTGGAGTAAGTAGTGTTGTCACTGTTACACAATCCCAAAGTATTGATGTTAAGAGATTTCCTCTGAGTCACAATTAACCAGTCATTGACAAAGGATCTAAATCCAGGCCTTCTGATTTTCAAGTTCAGTATTCCATTGTTTCCTAACACATTCTACTTAAAAGGCTAAATTATATATGCATAGAGAGCTTGTTCTCCTGAAGGGTGCTCCAATAGGAAATGCTTAGTAAAATACTGCAGCATTCAAATGTTAAATATACCCATGTTGCCCTGTAAGGTAGTGATGAAGGTGTTTCCTGATGGAGAAGCTGCTTAGTGTAGTAGATAGTTTGGCCAGGGCCGCTACCATAAGCTAAAAAAATTACTCTGGCAAGGTTCTTAACCTCTAAATTTGGTTTTCACTTACAAAATGGGAATAATACTTGTCTTTTTTGCCTCAAAGGTATCAGGAGGACCAAGTGAAATAATTTATATGAAGGAGGATTGTAAATTTTAAAGCAGTGTAAGCAAAAAGTACAGATGTGTTTGTCAGTTACACATTTCCAAAAATAATTACTATAGAGTCATTTCACTTCTAATTCTCTACTCTGCACATCACTCCTTTGCTTACAGATAGTACCAGACCCTTTCTGAAGGTTTTACTCCTGGATCTTTTAAGAGTAGCCCATCAAATGAAGCAATAAGAAAGCAATTCATTCCTTTCCCGCCCTCTATTTCTTTTTGATTCTATATGATTAAACTGGAAATTCTATTTACCATTTAATTGAAATGGATGCAGGTTACAAGCAAAAATTTTGTATTTAGCCTTAATATTCTTTTTTTTTAAAGATTTTATTTATTAATGAGAGACACAGGGAGTGAGGCAGAGACACAGGCAGAGGGAGAAGCAGGCTCCTTGTAGGGAGCCCGATGCGGGACTTGATCCCGGGATTCCAGGATTACACCCTGAGCCAAAGGCAGTCGCTCAACTGCTGAGCCACCCAGGCATCCCAAGAAAGTCAGATTTTTAAGGAAACTCTTTTGCCATGGACAAGGACTATAGAGAAGGTAATAGTTACTATAAGAATATTAAGGCTAGGGACGCCTGGGTGGCTCAGCGGTTGAGCGACTGCCATTGGCTCAGGGCGTGACCCTGGAATCCCGGGATCAAGTCCCGCATCGGGCTCCCTACAAGGAGCCTGCTTCTCCCTCTGCCTGTGTCTCTGCCTCACTCTCTGTGTCTCTCATGAATAAATAAATAAAATATTTTTTTAAAAATCTGACTTTCTTAAAAATGTAAACTATGAAGAACCTGTAAGTAGAGTTCTGGGGACCTTGGGTATCTAGCAGGTATCTAGCTTCTATTATATAAGTAGTTTGTTTTCTTTTTCTCAAGCACTATGGACTCCATTGTTTGGTTGAGATTGATTTTCACTTAATGTGTGTTTTTTGTCCATTTTAATCAGGTGAGAAGTAATAAACTTTAAAATCCAAGCTTAGAGGACATCAGCTTAAGTGATATTTTAGGTCAGACCTTCAGTCTAGTTTAGATAATTTGCATCTCTTGCTCCAAGCAAAGTACATGGCTCATTACAGTGTATGCTTACTGAAGTAGGTAGTTATTTTTGTACTTCCTTTTTAAACACATATGCTATTTTTGTTTTAAACATATAAAAATTTTTCACCAAAAAGTTTAGAGCCAAGACAGAAAAAATAACTTTGTTCTTCTTTATAATCTCCATATGAATAAAATTATATCCTGGTATTGTAGGAAATGTAATTTATTCTTTGCCTGGACATTTAGTCATCTGTTTTAATTAATGTGTTTAATTTAATTGATCCTGATCCTCATCAGGATCATTTGTTCTTGGGTGCCTGGCTGGCTCAGTTGGTAGAATGTGTGACTCTTAATCTCTGGGTTGTGGGTTTGAGCCCCACATTGGATGTAGAGATTACTTTAAAGATACATTAAAAAAATTGTTAAAAAAAAAGAATCATTGGCATTAAGAATAGTAGCAGTGATTTTTAAATTTTTCTTAGTAGATGATAGAATTTGCTTCGTTATTCCAGAATTTCCTTTCTTTCTGAGTAACCTGCGGTTATTTTTATGCCAGATACTAACTTTTTCTAAATTTATTCCATAAACATCCTCAGTGCAGTTTTGTAGTTAGGATTTAAGGAAGTTGCTAACATAGTGATTGAATTTCTTTGATATATTTATAGAGTTAATAATAGGATATATCTGAATCCTTTTTTTTTTTAAATATAGTATGACGAATTAGTTCCTGCTTCTCTAACAACAAAATATGGAGGCTTTTACATCAACACGGGCACTCTGCAGTTTCGCCAAGCTTCAGATACTGAAGAAGAAGATATTACAGACAACCAAAAGCACAAGCCACCCAAAGTACGTTTATCCAACATGGCAAGAGTAATGAGTATTCAGCTAATAGGGTATACTTTTTAAACTTATTTATGAATATAAGAAAAAAGAATGCTAACCATTGTCTAATGAATCTGTAGTTATTTATGTGCTTTAAAGTAAAATTATATAGATATGGGGAAATTGATATTTACATCATAGAATTATATTTTCTTCTAAAACTTCTTTCTCCATATATAGTCTAATAATCTGTTTGGGGGATAAGGGTAAGTTTCTAGGGTAAGTTAAGACTTAGTATAGAAGGGCGCCTGAGTGGTTCAGCAGTTGAGCATCTGCCTGCGGCTCAGGGTGTGAACCCAGGGTCCTGGGATCAAGTTGCACATTGGGGTCCCTACAGGGAGCCTGCTTCTCCCTCTGCCTGTGTCTCTGCCTCTGTGTGTGTGTGTCTCTCTCATGAATAAATAAATAAAATCTTTAAAAAAAATTCTTGGTACAGAAATGATTATAAAAAACCATTAACCTTTCCTAAGATGTAATTTATAACACTAATTCTATGGAGTGTATATATTGTTTTAGGAAACGAATAGCGTGTCCTTAAGTGTTTCTTGAAATGTGATCCAAGGACTTACTTGTGCCAGAATCATCACAATTTTTATAAAAATCAGGCAGTGCTTGTAGACCCCAAAGTCTACATTTATAACAAAGCACTCTTAAAAAAAAAAAAAAAAGCACTCTTAATGCACACTGAACTTTGAGAGAAAACAGTATCTTAGGTGCTAGATTGATAACATCATGGAGTAAATTGTTTATACTCAGATAAGTGATACATTCTTCTATCATTTGCAGATTTCCAAAATAAAAGAAGATGATATTGAGATGAAGAAGCGGAAGCGGAAAGAGGAAGGGGAAAAGGAGAAGAAGCCAAGGAAAAAAGTACCCAAACAACTGGGGTACGTAAAATTAAATGTCATAAGGGAACTAGGGTCATAGCATGACTAGCTGCCCTTTTAAAAAGATATATTTAGCTTTAATTCATTCAGTTTAGCTGGATCTAATTTAATACTATATAAATGTCAATAACTATTAACATTTTAATATTAATGTGTATTAAGTATAAGTATTAGTAAGTAGAAAGCTTCATCATCCTAAATTAACATTGTATTTATTGATAAGTAGAGACTTTATCATTTTAGAGACTCATGATGTTTTAGATCAGATTTACAAATTAGTGCACTAAGTATTTTGCTCATTACAACTTTTTACCAACAAGAGTCAGTTTGAAAAGATGGTATAAACATCAAACAAATCTTTTATACTTTCTGTACAAAACTAAGCCTAGTTTTTGAGGACTGGTGGTAGTCTTAGTATGTGTGTAAGCAATTTGTAGTTGTTTCACTACTTAAAAAGTCACTTATTTAGCTTTTCTTCATGCTTGTGACTTTAGGTAATGATATTATCTCTAAAAATCAAGTAGAATTTCTCAAAAGACTTAAATCATAAGAATAAAATGTTTACACCATGCATTCATAAAATTACCAGTTGTTCTTCCTTTTTTTTTTTGAGGGGAACTAAGGGACAGAAACTATGAGAGGTTAGATTTTCTTTCTCTCCTTAGGTAGGGGAGGTGCATCTGAATTTTGGGCTATCAATACTCAAAAGGTTATCGTAAGGAGATTTACATACCTCCACACAATATCCTCCCATAAACATGAGATTTTTTTTTTTTTAAACATGAGATTTTAATGACCCTGGAGTCCTTAAGTAATTAAGGAAAAAATATGTATATTACTAATGCATGTTTTAAAAGTTCATTATTTACAAGCAAACTTCTTTGGTAACAAAGTCTTTATAATGCCTTCTATTGAATTTGTCAGTTTCTCAAATTCATAGCTTATTCATGCAGCAAATATTTATTAAGTACCTGTTGTATACCAGACATTGTGGTTTGGGAATATATGACAATAAATGAAATGTGGACTTTCCTCGAAGGTACAAACATCCTTTTGATTCAGTAGTGCAGAGTAGAAGCATATAAACCATAGAATATAGGAAAGGTTTCTAGAGAAAGTGATAACTAAACTGAAACTACTTTTCCCCCATGGTCTCTGTAGGAAGAACATTTTCTTTTCTTTTTCTTTTTTTTTTTTTTTAAGATTTTATTTATTTATTCATGAGAGACACAGAGAGAGAGAGAGGCAGAGACACAGGCAGACGGAGAAGCAAGCTCCATGCAGGGAGCCCGACGTGGGACTCGATCCCAGGTGTCCAGGATCATACCCTGGGCCGAAGGCGGTGCTAAATCACTGAGCCACCCGGGCTGCCCTGGAAGAACATTATCATAGAAAATTATACATGTGTGATTGCCTCCCATGGCTGTTCCCAGAGGGGAAAATGAAAATGATCAGAAGGTAGTAGCAGATAGAATAGGGTCTAGAAAGATTTTGTATTTCTTTGGCAGTTTGTAGCACAAACCACCTGGGGTACCAGCTTGAAGTTGTGCTTGTGTGAGCTTCTCTGGTCACTTTGAGGAAAGTGCATTTCTTTACTTTGTTAATTTCGTAGGTGACTACTTTACCAATTATGCTTAAGAATGTGAACATTCCAAAGAGTAGTAAGTTTAACTTAATATACTCTCATAAACCTGTGACATTCATTTTGTTGTTTCTTTCTGTTAACTTTGGTCCTTTCATTTTCTTCACTCTGATGGCCATTTACCCTCAACCTTTCCTCAGTGACAGTCCAGATGATGAGGAAGATGCTGTGATAAGAGGATAATTTAATAAGAGATTTGTTCTTCCACCTATCAAATGATTGTTTTGATGATCTGTGCCTACTTATTTACATGAAGCTTTAAACTTTAAAATCATACATAGCCTAATGGATGACTTTTTTTCTTCACAGAGTTGTAGCTCTAAATTCACACAAGTCTGAAAAAAAGAAGAAACGTTACAAAGATTCTCTTTCTCTGGCTGCCATGATACGAAAATTTCAGAAAGAGAAGGATGCATTAAAGAAGGAGCCTAACCCTAAAATCCCAGTGAACTTAACGACCTCTTCTCTGAATAAACCCCATCCACTGCTGTAGTGTTGGGAAATGATGTCTCAGACTTAAATCTGAACAGTGCTGATCCGGACCTCCCCATTTTTGTTGGCACAAATGAACACGAACTGTTTCAGGAAGCTGAAAATGCCCTAGAGATGCTAGATGATTTTGACTTTGACAGATTACTGGATGCTGCTTCTGATGGTAGCCCCCTCTCTGAGTCAGGGGGTGAGAATGGAAACACCACCCTGCCAACCTATGCCTCTCAGGTTATGCCCAAGGTGGTGCCTACACTCCCAGAGGGCCTACCTGTCCTTCTTGAAAAACGCATTGAAGACCTCCGTGTAGTAAGTGTAATAATTCCCTTGTTTCTTATTTGCTACATAAACATAATAAATGCTTTGTATAAGACAAAAATAATAACCCACAATCCCAACACCCATATAAATAAACAACTTTTAATTTTCTATATTTCCTTTTATGCATTGGCTGTATGCATAGGCCTTTGATTTTAAGTAGAAATATGTGTAACTATAGTTATAGAATCATATGGGTAACTGTTTATTATTTCATTTCATCTTAAACATTTTTTTAAAGATTTATTTTTAGAAAGTAAGCATGTGTGCACACAAGTGAACACAAGGTGAGAAGGGCAGAGGAAGAGAGAATTTTCAAGCAGACTCCCCACTGGGCATAGAGCTCAATGTGGGGCTTGGGGGATCCCTGGGTGGCGCAGCGGTTTGGCGCCTGCCTTTGGCCCAGGGCGCGATACTGGAGACCCAGGATTGAATCCCACATCGGGCTCCCGGTGCATGGAGCCTGCTTCTCCCTCTGCCTATGTCTCTGCCTCTCTCTCTCTCTCTCTCTCTCTCTCTCTCTCTCTCTCTCTCTGGGACTATCATAAATAAATAAAAATTAAAAAAAAAAAGTGGGGCTCGGTCCCAGTACCCAGGGGTCATGACCTGAGCCAAAATCAAGAGTTGGACGCTTAACCGACTGAGCCACCCAGGTGCCCCTCATCTTCTAAATATTTTTCAGCATAAGTTTCATAAATACAATTTTTACTATAAAAAAAGTTGTGTAAAGACAACAGAGGGAAAGTATAGGCAAATAGTTTTATAATAGACATTACAAAAGTATACCTAAATTTGGTCCAAACTATATTGACATCCAGTTATTTTATAATTGCTTTTTCCAGCTAATCCTTTCCAGCTTAGTAAGCACGCATTGTTTAGTAAGCATGCATTGTGTTCCCATTAGGACAAACCTGAGAGCTGAGTTTAAGCATGTCACATTAGATACCTCTCCAGATGGACTTGGATTCATAATCTTTGTTTAACTAGCTACAAATCCAGATGAATGTCATCACACTTACCCATTTAGTCTAGGGAGATAGTATTTTGACTTAAAATAACATGCCAAACCTAGCTTAAAATGCCCTTCTTGATTACCTTAGTGTGTTTATTTGAACCCATGCTATATTTTAGTTCTCATTTTTTCCCTAACTGTAAAAGTAAAATGCACAATACAAAATGTATTATCATACATAGGGAAAGATCCCCCGTAATCTGACATTCCCATCCCCAACAAAGATAACCACTATTAAACTACTTATTTTTCTGGATTTTAATCCATGCAATTGCAAATATTATACTATTATAAAAAATAACTAATGGGATGGTAATGGACTATTCTACAGCTCTCTGCTTTCTCCTGGGATTATGGTAACCCAACCTAAGTCATGGTTTTTTTGTTTTTTTTTTTTTTTTCTAAGTCATGTTTTAAAATTTACTGGTCATCTTTATATTGTATTTATTTCTTGTAACTTTTCCTAAATTATAAATAACTGATTAGAGGAGTATTTGATTTATTTGATTTTTCCAGTAACTGGCCCACAGATCTTATTTTTAACAATTCTGTATTTTTTCAGCTTTTTTATTCTTTAGCATTTCTTCTGAAGTAGTGACTTAGTTCCTCTGTATTTTTACTTATTTTACTGTACTTCATTAGTCTAGAACGTAGAGAAGTATGTTAAAATATCATTGTATTTCTTAGATTATAAATTGTGTTTACCGTCATTTTTGCTTTATTTATTTCCATGCTATGATGTTTGACCTGTAAAATTCTGGATGGCTACATCTTTGCAGTCGTTATCATTTGAAGGTGACTTTTTGTATAATTAATGCCTTTTACCCAAATTTAGCTTTGTCTGATTTACTGTAGACTCCTTTCTCTTTATTTTTACATGGTACCTACAGGTTTTCTCATCATTTACCTTCAACCTCTTTGATTTTCTTTATTGTAGCACTTTCTCTTACAGCATATTATTTCCTAATTGACCTCATCTGAATATTTTAACAGATGATTTTATCTTTTTACAATTGTTAAAATTATATAATCTTAGTCATTTTTTATTCTGTTTCATTTCTCTTTCATTTTCATTGTTTTGCTATTTTCTGTGCTTATTTTTCGAAAAGCATTCAATCTGTAGTTTCAGTAATAAATAGATTTTTAATTTAATATTCTCAGCTATTTTGTGTAGGAAATATAGGTACTAGTTCTTTTTATGGTTTAAGAAACCTGGGGTAGGTTAAATAGCTTGGTCAGGTCCATGCAGCTAGTAAGTGGTAGAGCCAGAATTTAGCCACAAGGGTTCACTTGACTCCAAAATATGTGCTTTTTACTATCCCATGTTACTATCCCAGGTTCCCTAAAAACCTTTATTTTATTCTAGGTTTTAAAAAGTGTTAGTGATATGATCCACATTTTTAAAGATATTATTAATAATATAGCTCTTGTTTATTTAGCAAAAATCTGTACTGTGTATTGAGTGCAGTGCTGTTGTGTTTCATATAGCATTTACCATTCAGGAGACAGCGCCCTGATTGGGGTTAGTGTACTTTACATACTGTATAGTCTAATTCTCCAACAGTCAATTGAGGTAGATAGTATTCTTCTTCTTCTTCTTCTTCTTCTTCTTCTTCTTCTTCTTTCTTCTTTCTTCTTTCTTCTTTCTTCTTTCTTCTTTCTTCTTTTTTTTAAGATCTTATTTATTTATTCATGAGAGACACACACACACAGAGAGAGAGAGAGAGAGAGGCAGAGACACAGGCAGAGGGAGAAGCAGGCTCCATGAAGGGAACCTGACGTGGGACTCGATCCCAGGTCTCCAGGATCACGCCCTGGACTGAAGGTGGCACTAAAATGCCAAGCCACCTAGGCTGCCCAGGTAGTATTCTTCTATTTAATAGATGAGGAAACTAAAGTTCAAAAGTTAAATGATTTGCCCAAGGCCACATAATTTTTAAAGGGCTGAGCCATGACTCAAAGTCAGGACTTAAAGGCAGGCACTCAGGCACTCCCCGTCTGCTGTGTTATATGCCATTTTCACTTCATAAACCGATTGGTTAGTAGTAAGTGTGTTACAATCTTGTAAAAGTTTTGTCATATTTTATATACTAAAAACTATTCTCTCCTTTTCTGTAGTAGTCCAACCAGAGTTAATACAGCTGCTCCCTAACTCCTTAGTAGGAAATCATCAGTAAGACGTTTGATTTCAGTTACTGGTATCTATGACTTCTCTATATTTTCTTTGATATATGAGATGGTACTTTTTCTTTAGGAGGTGAGAACTCATCTTTGGCTCAAATGCTTATGTGTGTATGATAAGGAGTTGCTTCTTGTGGTTCTTTTCTTACTTTGTAATATTCTCCCACTATTTAACCTCTTGACTTTTTTGATTCTCCTTCTTGAAGTTTAGTTTTCCTTATAGCTTTCATATATTTCTGCCCCCTACATATACCCAGTTTTCATTCTTTCTACGAAATACCAAGGCATGGCTTAGAAATTTCTTTTTATTTATTGCCTATAAAATGATCAAATAACTTGGTGGGTTGACAGAGTCAGCATATGGCTTGCTCAGATTATTAGATCAGGCTTCTTTGTATTTTACATCTCATGGACCTCAACTACATTGTTTGTGATTTTTCCCAGTAGATTTTGCTTATGGTAGAGTGTGTTGGTATACTTGGTTTCTGGTCACCTGGTTGAAGTGACACACATAATGATGAAATTAAGCTCATTGCATTAATTTTTGCTTATCCCTTGATAATAACTTCACCTGTTTCTTTGTTGTTAGTAACTAGATGGAACCTAGACAGGCTGCAGTATCTTTGTGCAGGGTTGCAGTGTTGCACAGTTGAAGTCAGAAAGCCTGTGATCTGAGTCCTGGATCCACCACTTAGTAGTAGTGTGATTGGGGGCATGTTATGTAACATCTGACAGATTTGGGTTCCTTGTTTGTATAATGGGAGGTGTCATGCCAGTGTCATTGGCTGTCATTAAACATGGTAATGAATATAACATATAGAATATCAGACAGATATTCTGTAGACACTCAACAGAAAGTGAGACATCTGCTTTCTATTATCTTGGAGACCACAGCAATAATTAATAAACCTATGGATAGTCAAAGTACACAAGATACCCAAAGCACTAAAAAGTCTTGTATGTATAATTTTGTTAATTTAGGAAGATTAAGAAAAATTAAATACAGATATAATATGAAATAGTGGTATATATGCTGAATTTGTTTCAACAGTGTAATTGCCTACTCATGCCAGGTACTAAGCTGGGTACAGAAGATACAAAGTGAAAAAAATCACAATAGCCCTCGTTCTGAGGAAGTTTATTCTTTAGTAAATAGATACGGAAACAAATAATGTGTTTATTGAAAGCGATATCAACAATCTTATGTTTCTCTAGGCTGCCAAACTTTTTGATGAAGAAGGAAGGAAAAAATTCTTTACACAGGATATGAATAATATTCTTCTGGAGTAAGTAATTATCTTCTTTAATTAAAAGATTATTTAAACTTTAAGAATTCATTTAAAAATATAGTTAGTTACAACTTTACAGGTTGAATGTTATTTTAGATTTAAATGTATTTTTTGTCACTTTATATGAAAGTGTCTTTCTGGAACAGCTCTGAGTGTTCATATTAAATGTGGTATAATTTTCCTTCTATTTTCATTCAGACTTGGGAAGAATAATTCCATTGGTATCTAACCAGGTTAATTATAATTCATACAAACATTTATAGCCAAATGGAAAGGATGGTTTAATATAATTCTCATTGTGAGGCAGGAGAGGGGCCGTGTGGAGAAGACAGAGGGAAGAGTGGAAGGGGAGGCTGACTACTGAGACAGGACACAGATTGTATTTAAATTAGTGACAGTTTTGGGATGGCTCTGTGGCTCAGCGGTTGAGGGTCTGCCTTTGGCTCAGGGCGTGATCCCAGTCTGGGGATCAAGTCCCACATCGGACTCTCTGCATGGAGCCTGCTTCTCCTTCTGCCTGTGTCTCTGCCTCTCTCTGTGTGTCTCATGAATAAATAAACAAAATCTTTTAAAGAAAATAAATAGTGACAGTTTTCACTCTTAGCTGGAGTTTGATACTGACGAAGCTGCAGGTTCTAAGGTTGTGGTCCAGTAAGCTATCCTTATAAACCTTTTGGTTTGTAAATTTTGACCATTGGTTGTAGAAATGGAGTGTATAATTAGCTGCAAGCAGAACTAGGTATAAAAAGCAATTCTGGAGAAAGCAGATTTTACTCCTCTGGCACGAACATAATGTGCGCCTGCCTGTGGTGGTTCAGTAGTGTGTGTGTGTGTGTGTGTGTGTGTGTGTGTGTGTGTGTGTGTATAAATAAGCAGTGTTTCCAGTACTGTGTGTGATGTGAGTCCTGGTTGAGGAGTTTTTTTTGTTGTTGCTGGAGGTAAATATACATCGGAGGTAGTTTCTCATGAGATACAAGGGATGATGGATTGGTTTGCTTTGATAACTATTTTCTTTTTTTTGTTGTTTTTGTTTTTGTTTTTTCCCCCTCCCCCTTGATAACTGTTTTAATTAAGTGCAGTCTCTTTCTCCAGAGTACTTAAAAAATCTTGTTGGTGTCTTGCGGAAACACATAACCTAGTACACTACTGGTGTGATGACAGAGAAATTTCTTGTTTCTGTTCTTTATTTTAGCCAGGGACTTTCAGATTGATTCTGTCTGCCTGGAAGCAAGGCAAATGCTTCCTGCCTATGCCAGCTCCTTTTACACCCCAGATTCAATAAACAGTGTAACCATTACTCATCAGAGCTGTCCCAGATTCTCTAATCAGGAATCTGACTGGCTTCTTTTTCCACTCAAGAGTCCTAAGCTTACTGGATCAGGTCCTTTTTCTGTGACTGAGACAGTGCTTTTTTATTTTACTCTTCTATAAGAGGGACTGACTTTTTCTTTCCTGAGAGAAACAAAGGACCATCCTTGGGACATAACATCTCAGATAAGCAGAATATCAGCAGATTACTCACAGGCTTTTCTTTCTCTCTCTCTTTCTAAAGATTTTACTTATTCATGGCATAGGGAGAAGAAGGCTCCCTGCAAGGAGCCTGATGCGGAACTCAATCCCAGACTCCGGGATCATACCCTGAGCCAAAGGCAGATGCTCAACTGCTGAGCCACCCAGGCATCCCTCTCTCTTTTTTTAGGTAATCTCAACACCCAGCATGGGGGTCGAACTCATGACCCTGAAATCAAGAGTCACATGCTCTACTGATTGAATTGGGCAATTGTCCCTCCCCTCCTTTAAAAATGTTTTTATCTTTAAAATTATTTATTTACTTATTTATTTAAAAGAAGGCTCCATGCCCAATGTGGGGCTTGGACTCAAGACCCTGAGATCAAGAGTTGCATGCTGCTCCAGCTGAGCCAGCCAGGAACCTCCCCAACAGACTTCCCTTAATCCTCCCTATGTCTATCTTAAATCCTCCAGTTCTGTTGGAATCCATCTATTTTTTTATTTCACTGAGTGTGCCTCCAGTTCTATAAGACATAGTATTCAGAGTTTAATTTTTTCCATTTTAATAACTTCTTTATGCCCGTGGCCTCTGTTTCCCTTTCCTAAACAAACATCCCTTATTTCTCTAGACTGAGTTGATCTTCTGAGGGTACATGGTTCATAATTATTTTGGGTAGTAAATTCATATGAAGTTATCCGGGTACACCAGCTCTGCCTCAACCACTGTTTCCTTATGCTTGGTAGAAAGAGGGGTGAATTTGTTGGAATAGGGGCCCTTTCTCTTTCTGCCTAATTGAATTTGACTTGGATCAGCAAATACATAACATACCAGCTTGATCTCTTCCCCTATTTCCTCTTTTACCTCAAGCATACATTTACTAACAAAGTCTTGATACTCTGCCTATGATCCCATTCCAACCTGAGTTCTGTTCAACAAATGCTCTAAAGTTGTTTAGGGACAGGAGGGATCTACATCCCTCTTGTATATTATTAATTAACACATCAACAGGCTTTTGAATTTTTGCTATAAGTAAAAAATATTGTGGATTTTGTGTTTTGGTTATTGCTGCCTAAGTCTTTCTTCAGTTACTAGTTTTCAGTGGTTCTGTTATGTGAACAGTAGTGGTAAGATATCTGGAATACTTGAGGAAAAATTCAGGAACTTCAGTAGATTCCTGAATTCATGTGGACTTAGCTTCTTCTTCTTCTTCTTTTTGACTAGTATTTTCAAACTGATTGAATGAAATATATATTCTAGGGCTTTTAAAAAAGATTTTATTTATTTATTTGAGAGAGTGAGCTCATGAATTGGAGGGGAGAAGCAGATTCCCCACCGAGAAGGGAGTCTGACATCGGCTAGATCCCAGGACCCCAAGATCAGACCTGGGCTGAAGGCAGACACTTAACTGACTCAGCTACCCAGGGGCCCCTATATTCCGTTTTTTATTTTTATTTTTTAAAAGATTTTATTTATTTATTCATGAGACACACACAGAGAGAGAGAGGCAGACACAGGCAGAGGGAGAAGCAGGCTCCATGCAGGGAACCTGACGTGGGACTCAATCCTGGATTTCCAGGATCATGCCCTGGGCCAAAGGTGGTGCTAAACCGCTGAGCCACCCGGGCTGCCCCTATTCTGTTTTTTAAAAAGAGGGAGAAAGATGCCTGGTTGGCTCGTTTGGTAGACCTTGTGACTTGCGTTGTCAGGTCAAGCCCCACATTGAGTCTATGTAGAACTTACTTTAAAAAAAAAAGCCTGGGATCCCTGGGTGGCACAGCGGTTTAGCGCCTGCCTTTGGCCCAGGGCGCGATCCTGGAGACCCGGGATCGAATCCCACGTCGGGCTCCCAGTGCATGGAGCCTGCTTCTCCCTCTGCCTATGTCTCTGCCTCTCTCTCTCTCTCTCTCTCTCTCTCTCTCTCTCTCTTTGTGACTATCATAAATTAAAAAAAAAAAAAGACTAAACAGAGGAAGTTGATGGGATAAGAAGATATGTCATATATCAACGGTGGGGAAATGACTATTTCTAGAATTCTGTGTGAAAATACAGGTAAGACTAAGTATTCCTGAGCCAGAAGAATCTTGTTTATAAAGTTGGCCATTGTTTCATCTAATGGATTCCTATGTTGAGTTTCTTGGAGGCTTCTTCAGAGACAAATAAGAGCCTTGTAAAGATAGGAATATAATAGTGGGTTTCAAGCTCATTTACTCACAAAACCCAGTGTTTGTCCTCTATTGCATTATCAGTGGATGATCCCAGTATGTTTTTATCCATTTAGAACCTGTAGTGATCGCATGTTCATAATTTATTATCAGAGGTTTGAGACCTACCCATTGTAACTTTCATGCATGGATATCTGCTTAGGGTTAGACCTCACTGAAGGAAGCAAAAGAACCTGGTGGATAGAAGGAGGCAGGCTCAGAGAAAGTTTGTTGCTTTAGGATAAGCTTTATTTCTCTGAAATGTGAAAATAACTGAAATTTAAACTTTTCATTGCCAGGTGTTTTAGGTACTTCTTAGGCCTTAGAAGATTGGAATTCTTAGAAAAAAAAATGTGTGAGGGATGTGTGCTTAAAATATACTGTTCTCTGGTAGGAATTTGTATATATTTGTGATAGACCAATACAATCCATAACCTTTAGGGTTAATATGCTTCTCTAATTTTTACCTAGTAATGGCTTAGGAGCAGGGAGTCAGCTCTTTGTGTTTTTCAATTTCTCCCCTCTTTGGAAACCACTGATTTTTATAAGTATGTCACTGATTCACTCTATTTTTATTTGGAATCTCTTACTACTTGGAGTTTCTATTTTATTTTCAGTCTCCACTAACTTTTAATAATGGGACAAGCCTTGAAAGTCTCCTACCTAGAGACTAGACTTCTAATAAAGATCCACATATAATGTTATTTAGCCAAATGTTTATACACAGAATTCATGACAATAGTGATTGTTTCCCATATGATCCTCTGCATTTAACATTCTGGTTCTACTAGATTCTAAACTTTTTTCCGTTTATATATTGTGTCTGACTTCTCTAATACCAAGAATTTTTATTGTCAGCGTTAAAGCATAATTTTCCACATTTTGTTGTTCCTGAAATCGCAGTGTATCTTATAAGTGGTGGATATATTTCATATGGGAGGATTTCTTTTCTTCCCCAAAAGCTGTTAATTGAATCTTTGGATTCATCTTTAAATTGTGAAAAGTATTTGTTAAATCTCTGCATCTTCTTTAGAATAGAATGTGATGATTTGGACATGGTTTTTTGCCAAGAGTCCCAGATTGGTCTTGGCCTTCAAATTAACATCTGTTCCTTTCGTTCTACAATAGCAGTTACCATCTTGGAAGAAACCTCAATTATTTATTAGTAAACTTGTCTGGTTGAGAATACGGCGGCTGTTCAAACTTTTTTTTAATGACTCTTAAGCTAAATACCTATTTAACAGTTTATTTATTTTTGGTGTAAAAAACTAATGTACAAATGGAAACAACTGAAAAATTGGAATAAACGGGACAAACTATTAAATATCTAGCTTGTGCAATGCAGGCACAATAAGGGAGACAAGGATGGATGAAACAGTCTGTATATGTAGCCAGAAGGGCTTCACCTTTTCCAGATCTGCAGTTTTTTCCAACATGTCTAAGGAAAAAGTATTCTAAATTCATTGAAACTGTGTGACTCTCTAGCTTAGCAATTGCAATGGGGGAGAGAGGCTGTGAAATATCTCTGAGGAGATGAGCTTCTGGTTAATAATAGGGTTCCCGTGCTTTACCCAAAAATGTAGGCTTAAATGTAGACTTTGCCCCTCTTCATCAGAAGTTATTCATAGGGACACCTGAGTGGCTCAGCAGTTGAGCGTCTGCCTTCGGCTCAGGTCGTGATCCCAGGGTCCTGGGATCGAGTTTCGCATCAGGCTCCTTGAGGGAAGACTGCTTCTCCCTCTGCCTACGTCTCTGCCTCTCTCTCTCTCTCTCTCTCTCTCTCTCTCTCTCATGAATAAATAAAACCTTTAAAAAAATGATTCACCAGTTTATTTATGGTTATATAAATTATCTCTACATTTTTTTCCTTGAAAAATACTGTCTAGGAAATCATAGAATGATAAAACGAGAGAAGAGTCACTCTTCTAGTGAGCCTTTGCTTCCTTGCTTGTGTTGGCACTTAAAAGAAATTCTATACTATTTATTTGTTGTTTTTGTTCAGCATTGAGTTACAGCTACAGGAACTAGGCCCTGTCATTCGTAGTGGTGTCTACTCCCATCTTGAAGCTTTTGTGCCATGCAACAAAGAAACACTGGTAAAACGTCTAAAGAAGTTACATCTCAACGTCCAGGTAAGAGGAGGAATAATAATATCCATATCTGGAGGCTTATAGCTTGTAAAGAGACTTGTTTCTATTTGGGACTTTTGCATATTAGTTGCTTTTCAGTCTTACTGTATGTATTGAATAACTATAGGAGTTATTAAAGACACATTGGATCTCTTGGAAAAATTTACTGTTCAACAATTGATAAATCTAGATAAGAATGTTTTCTAAGGCATAGATTCTTGGGCTGGTAAATTAACTTTAGGTCCACAACTGACACGACTTTACCCTCAACAACTATCTGACAGATTTATAACTCAGTTTTTTTATTACTAAAACGATTCTATGCAGATATGTTCACACCTATCTTGCACAAACCAGTGGAAAGAAACACAGAGTTACATGTAAACTTAGAGATTTTTTTGGTGTAATCATCCATGTTTTGCTAGATTCTCCTGGTAATTGTCCAACTTTGAATGCTTCCAGTGGTCAGAAACATATTTCATTGTAATACCAAAAAATTCTTCCAGGCACTGAGACAAATCCAAGGGCTTTCTTTCTACCCAGATGCTTTCTACCCTGCTTGTCCTAATTGTACCTTTGAGTCCACTCATAAAACTAATCATTTGTCACTTTCAGAGCTTTCGTGTTTTTGAAAGCTTCTATTATGTCCCTTCTTTCACTTTATGTAAAATGGTTTTTAGTACCTTCACTGTTCTGATTACTCTTCCCACAATTTATTTGACTACATATTTTTAAAATATTTATAACCTGCAAGTAATAGAAAAGAATTTAAATGCAGTTTAAGACAAAAAAGGACTTCTTTTTTCTATTAATAAAAGTATTTCATGGAAGTAAAAATACAGCCAGGAAGGGATAGGAACTGATCCTTTGGATTAATTCTTGTTTCTCCCCATGTATCATTTTTATCTTTCTGTGTGGATCTGAAAATAAGATTATCCTCAAGGTTTTATATTACAGAAAAGCGACACACACAGACTGACTGAGCCCTCTCAACTTGGTCCAAGCTCTTGGGTTCTGATTATACTATCTTGGGTCAACCAAAATTTTTCTGGCCACATAGTACAACTTGGCTGTCCAAGGCCCCCCATGGCTCTAACGAGGGATTGAATGTGGTGCCCTGGACCACTAGTAATGTGATCTGACAGGCATAGAATTCTTTATTATAGGTATTATACTTCTGTTAATAAAACAATTAAGAGTCTGCCTCTTGCTTTTGGCTCAGGTCATGATCTCAGGGTTGTGAGATTGAGCCCTGCATCAGGCCCCAAGCTAGGCATGGAGCCTGCTTGAGATTCTCTCTCCCCCTTTCCACCTCCCTGTACACACACTCTCTAAAATAATAATAATAATAAATAAATTCAGAGTTTTTTCTCAGTTTAAAGCAGAGTAATAAATAAATGAAATTTACTCGAGGTCACAGATTTTATGTCTGTGCCTGGCTCCTTCAGACATTGACAGTTGGAGCTTACTGCCATACATTCAGATGACAGAAATGGTCCAATAAAAAAAGATCTAGAGGTAGGAGAACTTTTTGCATATTATATTTTCTAAGGAATATTTCAGATTTGATGTTTGAAGTTATTTAATATGCCTGTTGGTTGTAGAAGGCATTTATCTTAATCCTTGCTTTTCTTTATATGGTTTTATCATGTACGTTTATAATCCCTGAATACTATATCGTTGGATTTTGTATATTCTTGAGCTTCAAATAAATAGAGTGATATTATCACCATACTTTTCTTCTGCAGCATGCTTTTAAAAATGTATGTATGGGGATACCTGGGTGGCTCAGCTGTTAAGCATCTTCCTTCAGCTCAGGGCGTGATCCTGGAATCCTGGGATCGAGTCCCACATCAGGCTCCCTGCATCGAGCTTGCTTCTCCCTCTGCCTGTGTCTCTGCCTCTCTCTTTCTGTGTCTCTCATGAATAAATAAACAAAATATTTTAAAAATTAATAAAAATAAAAGTGTATATATGTATGTATGTATGTATGTATTTATTTGAGAGAGAGAGAGCATGCACACCAGCAGAGGGGAAGGACAGAGGGAGAAACAGGCTCCTTGCTAAGCATGGAGCCCGACACAGGACTTGATCTTAGGACCCTGGGATCATCACCCGAGCCGAAGACACCTACTGAGCCACCCAGTTGCCCCATGCAGCTTGCTTTTTTACACTGAACATTATGTACCTCAGATTTATTTGTCTTTACATTTGGTGAACTTCATTTTTAGAGTACATTTGCTGTACAATCTATAAATATATTCAAATTAATTTATTCATTTTACTGTTGATGGATATTTGGGTTGTTCCCAGACAGATAGTCTCAGCTACATAATTAAGAAATGATCACCTTGGGGGATACCTGGGTGGCTCAGTGGTTGAGTGTCTGCCTTCAGCTCAGGTCATGATCCTGGGGTCCTGGGATCAAGTCCTGCATCAGGCTCTCCGTAGGTAGCCTGCTTCTCTTTCTGCCTATGTCTCTGCCCCTCTCTCTGTGTCTCTCATGAATAAATAAATAAAATCTTAAGAAGGGATCACCTAGGAACCATGATACTAAATGTTCATATTTTTTAATGGAATTTTTATAGCAAACACTGTCATATGTATAATAATACTTACTAATTAGCATGCATGAAAATAGTAAGTCTTCCAGTTTCCTCTTTCTTTTTGGTCTTGACCTTGCATTTTTGCTTGCCAGTGTAGGTCACAATTAGTAACAATAAACGAAAGAACAGGATGCCAACATCCTGTTGGTAGTCACCCAAACCAAATTGCATGTTCCATTGTTGGCAAAGCAGTATCTCCTCTTGCGGTACTGGTTCCCTATCGTAATGAGGATCAACTAGTAGTGGTCTGCACAATGTAGATTTTGTTCTTTATTTAATCCTAAAGTGTCCATATAATGTATTGGCCAAACGGGCATTTTTAAGAATGTAAAGGAATACATTGTGTGTCAACTAAACTCAAATAAAAATTTTTAAGAAAAAACACTATTAATTATGCTGGGGTAACAAGCAAAAAGTGGGATTCTCATTGGCTGCCTGGAAAGTTTGGTTATCCTGATTTTATATCCAGTTGCATTATAAAAAGTCATTGTGGTAGAAGAAATGTTTGGATTTAAATATGTTTTTAAAGAATATGTTTACATTTCAAATCTATAATCAGTATCTTTTGAGGATCTGCTTTAATTTTTGTAAATATGTTTTAAAAAGCTCTTAGTATATTTTTTTTTGTCAGGATGATCGTTTAAGAGAGCCTCTGCAAAAACTGAAACTGGCTGTTAGCAACGTCATGCCTGAACAGCTATTTAAATACCAGGAGGACTGCCAAGCTCGTAGTCAAGCTAAGTGTGCCAAGTACGTACCTCTTTTATTTGCACCAGCTTTGCATTTGAGAAATATCTTTAGCTCTTAAGGATTGGTCTTATATAGACTGCATCACCAAGTAGAAATCCACATATACCACTGAAATGGTGTAATTGAATATTTTCTAAGTGACACAGCACTTTCCATTCAATTGCTTTGGTGTCAAAAGCAAAAGGTCTCTTGATTTAGTGTATGGGTATGATCAGAGCAAGAGCTGGCACTGGTCAGATATTCACATGTCAACCAATTTAACTGGCTAAAGTTGGACACAAATATTTCCTAAACTGAAAGATAAGTATTCATGGCCTTATGTTACAGTTTGAAGACCTCATTTACCAAACCATTTTATAACACATTTCAAAGTATTATGTATAAAATTAAGCAATTTAACAAATGTCTCTGGAGCATATCATTGGCACTATTGGGTTAAAACTCTGCTTCATAAATCTTTTTCATTTTTAGGTTGCAAACAGATGAAGAACGAGAAAAAAATGGATCCGAGGAAGACGATGATGAGAAGCCAGGGAAACGTGTCATAGGACCAAGAAAGAAATTCCACTGGAATGACACCATCAGGTAAAATTTAACCAAAGCCTTCACTTTTAACCAAATAGATAATGCAGACCTAAGGTTTCTAATAAAAAGAATATACAGTAAATAGAAGAGTAGATTGGAAGCTACCAAAGATTAGTGTGTAGGAAAATTCATTCAAAGGAAGATTCATTTGGTCCTGATATTCTTAGAGCGCTCTCACTTTTATTTTCGTATCCTATTTTTTTATAAGCTAATCTTCTAATAATTAAGTGTAAGTCATACTGGTTTCAGAAGGTGAAATACTCCATATACTTGTATAATCAGTCATCTTTTTTACCAGTATTTCAGTACTCCAAGTAGAGGGTTTGGCTCAGGACTATCCTTTCAGTCTTTGGTGCCTAGATGAAAGGTATCAAAGGAAATTGTTTCATATTGGGGATTTGGCTGTAGTGCAATGAGTGATGTGTATTGGAAATTATTTATCTTCATGTCATCTTCTGAATTCTTGAGATAATATTCTTTATTATTGCTGTCAGATTTATGTGCTTTTAAAAAAATCTGTTTCAAGCTTAATTTTCCACAATTTTGCAGTCAAGATTTATATATAAATATATATTTTTAATCTGTTTAGAACTTTGTTATGTAACCTTGTTGAGATCAAATTGGGATGCTATGAGTTAGAGCCAAATAAAAGCCAGTCCGCTGAGGATTATCTTAAATCCTTTATGGAGACAGAGGTGAAACCATTGTGGCCTAAGGGCTGGATGCAGGCAAGGTAAGAAATATGACATCCTAGATTTTACTTTACTTTCTTATTATTGCTATTATTAAAGATACATATATATACACACACGACATTCATTTTGCTAAGAACCTAGTGTGGTTAGCATTCTATACAGTCATCTCAGATGATCTCTTCTTTGAAAACTTCAAGCACTAAAAAGACAAAACAATCACATGGACCTGGAGATACAGAGATTCATATAAAGAGTGATATTTTTTTGCCAGCCACTTTTTCCTTTTTGCACCTGAATTCGCTAATAGAGAAATGGGAGGAGGAGAAGATGGTTATGAACTTTGGGAGGGGAACTTCACAGGGGTATCAGGGAGATAAGGAACCAAATACAAAATTGAGAGATAGGAAAAGACACCCCAACCTTACCTTCTGTTGAAAATAGTCAATGTAGAGTGGTATCTCAGAAATTAAGAGTAGCCCAATTTAAAGTTTAAGGAGGTAAGAATGTTAAAATTAATAAATTTGGTTATCTCAAACTCTCATTTTAAAGTGTTCCATCTAAAATCAACAAAACATCTGTTGATCTGTTAAAGATTTAAAAAAATAAATGTGCCATAAAAATCCCCACAAAATAGATTATTGAATTTACTCTGTGCATTATAACTTTCATTTGATAAATAAGTAATAGACTGTTGAAAACCATGTAACTAAAACAAAGTGGCGATCATTATCTGTTACATAAAAATGATCATGTTTTTTTAACTTTTGCAGAATGCTTTTTAAGGAAAGCCGGAGTGTACATAATCATCTTACTTCTGCTCCGTGAGTAAAACAGAATCCAGATTACTTCATTTATTTTTGCTCACATTATGTGCTTTAGTAAACAAAAGTACTATTTATTACTGCTAGGTGAAATAGTACTTAAATGTACATTTAGATAATCTCCCATTTTACTACTGCCTTTAAAAAAGTAACTAAAAAAAAAAAGTAACTGTGTACACCTGAGAACACATTTATCTATTAAATAGTTCTCAAAAAAAAAAAAAAAAAGTTCTCAGGCTAGTCTCCAAAAACCTGAATCTGTGCTGGCCTGAGATTTGGTAGTTAGGAGCCATGTAAACAGGAAGGCTCTGATGGTTTCCTTTGTTCCTGGGCTGCCTTCCCTCCAGTTCTTTGGTGTCCTCCTTCTTTTCCCCTCTACGACCATCAGTGTGGCTAACCTATAGCTTTGTGCAGTCCAAGATGGTTTCGTATATATGCCTGCCTTGCCTTGCCTTACTTAGAGTGTTTTATTCCACAAAATTATTCTTCATTTCCTTCCCTTCTTTTCAAAACTGAGTATTCCCTTAGTGATATGATTAGTGAAGAAAGGTCTCTTAACCTGATAGGCAGTAGTAAAAGCTGCGGTTTTTGTGGTTGCATGTTTGGGTGAATATGACTTGATTAGAATTTTATTTTTACCTACAACTTGGGGCCGTTTCTCTGTAGCATAGAAGTGTGGTAATAGTTAATAAAATATTAAATTAGCAAGGTATGAGAATTTATGGATCAGTGTAATTCAGTATTCTAAGAGGTCTGGTTAGCAATATTACGGAACTCTGCTTGTATACAATTACAGTGGAAATTTTTTACAACTCTTAGAACACTTTGTTAGCATATTGTCAGAGTTGTATTGAGTTGGTTGTGGTTTTCAGTTTTTGCTGTTTTTATTGCTGGTGGTTTAGTTATCCTGGGGCGGGCGGAAATATATGTATTGGTGTCAATAACATTTCTGGCCTTTAACTTCACCATAGTTATAAAATTACATATGTTTTACAATTCAGATATAAATAATTAATTCCTTTAAACCTAAAGCAGATGTTTCTATAGATCCTTTCTCCCAGTTTTTTTTTAGTAGCTGTATTACTATGACTAAGTTCTATTTTGTATCAGAAAGTGGAAATCTATGGGATACGTGGGCCTGGACATCTTTTGCCTCAATGGTCTTTATTAAAAAAACTTTGAAAATTACTTTTGTTTTAATGAAGTTGAAGATTGACAGTTTTTTTTTTTTAAGATTGATTGATTGATTGATTTATGATAGACATAGAGGGGGAGAGAGAGAGAGGCAGAGACACAGGCAAGGAGAGAAGCAGGCTCCATGCTAGGAGCCCGACGCGGGACTCGATCCCGGGACTCCAGGATTGCACCCTGGGCCAAAGGCAGGCGCCAAACCGCAGAGCCACCCAGGGATCCCCAAGATTGACAGTTTTAATCAAGATATTTTTTAATTTAATGGATAACATTTCAAGATAGTGAAGTTGAAATACCCAGTGTGAGATATTTTAGCTTGTTAACCCTTTAATTATCCAACAGACATTTGAGTATTTTCTCCTACTATGGAACCTGTAAGATTTTTTTCGTCTTCAAACTTTTTCACACTGGTTCCCAAAGGTACCAAGGTTCCGTGGTAACTTTTTTGCATTTTTTGTTCTGTCATTTTGACATTTATTTGAATTTTTGTATTAAAATAATTTTCTTTAAAAATAAAGATTTTTTTTTGTTTTAAAAATAATGCCCCATTTACAACTTCTCCCCAAATTATGGTTTAATTTGAGCTGAAAGTTTCTTGAAGTTCATTTTCCTATAAATAATTATAAATTCTTAGCAGTTCTTTGAAGTGAGTCCTTAGGCAGCTATGTTACCCTACCTTGAGGGTTTTTTTTTTTTTTAATTTTTGAGTATTTGCATTTAATTTTTTAAAAAAACCTTTATCTACAATTCATGTTTTGCTAATGGTTTGGCCTTTCTTTCCAGTTGATTGAAATTGAAGGAAGTGTTACTGTATATTCACATATAAACTGAGCACTTACATATAGTTCCTTCCTACATAGAGTTTTCCAAATAGCATAAGAAATTATTTACCCATGTAATGACAAGATTATGTTATAATTTCCTAATGAGTGACCTAACTGCTACTGAAATGGCCTCCTTTTTCATTTTTTGTCTTAGGGCAAAGAAAAAGGTGATTCCTGCACCTAAACCCAAAGTGAAGGTAAGTATTAGTCATGATTGGGGAATGTTGAAATACATTCTTAAGATGCAAAGGATATATGTGTTTTGTTTTGTTTTTTTTAAGATTTTATTTATTTCTTCATGAGAGGCAGAGAGAGAGAGAGAGACAGACACTGGCAGAGGGAGAAGCAGGCTCCATGCAGGGAGCCTGACATGGGACTCGATCCCAGGACTCCAGGGTCAGGCCCTGGGCTGAAGGCGGCACTAAACTACTGAGCCACCTGGGCTGCCCTATGTGTTTGGCATAGGTAGATAGGTACCATACTTTTAAGAAGAGTGTTTTTAAACTTTGTAAAAATCCTAGAACTATTGTATTTCAGAGAATTAAATTGTAAGATTTAGCCTAATATGTTAGAAGTGCTCTATCAAGTATAACAAATATCCTTTAAAAGCATAGTTGAGATTGCAAGTATATGAGAAATCCATAACGCCCAGAACAAGCTGCTGCCAGTGTTAATCTGTCATTGAAACTTTGGTTGCCTTTAGGTGCCTTTGCTGATTTTCATCAGTTGCTTTATGATTTATTTTTAAATATCTTCTCAGAGCACAGCAGATAGGGTTTTCTTAGCCTTATATAGGTTAGGAATTAGACTGAAACTCTGGATAAACCTGGGAACTTCAAAGGATAACATCTTTAGTAAAAGAAAGGACTAGAAAAGAAATCCACTCATCAGCAGAAAGATAAGAAACTTGGGTGTCTTGGCCTGAGTTCTAGAAGTCCTTCCTGAGAATTTTCCCTGGTTTCAGAGTTTAATTTATACTACCTACAAGATCTGGGAAATTCTCAAGCTTTGAAAATAACTTAAAGGTATTAGTTATTAACCCAGGGCAGATGACAAATCACATTCTCTCTGGAATAATGCCGTTTCATTCCAGGCCTCAAAGGCTTACCACATACATACTATGTCAAACAAGAGCTTAAAATCTGAAAATACAGAATATATAAGGAAATAAGTTACTATGAGTGAGAGTCAGCAGAAACGTTTGACAGAATTAGATCCCTGAGAAGGGCAAGTGATGGATTTATTGGGTTTAGAAATAAAGGAATCTAACTTGTTTAATATTTAAAGGAGAAAAGGGCATAAAAAATACCAAAATAGATAAAGCAGAGTTGGGGAAAAAAAAACAAGTATATAACAAGTGAAAATTGTAATAATTCAAAAGTAAAATTGTAAAGAAAGCCCACATCCTTTAGGTTTTGAACTTTCATCCTAGCTTTCATCTCTTTGAATAGATGAATTTCCTTGCTTATGAGGTTATTGCCAGAAGGTCAATATTTGTTACTCTGTAGCCTTCTTAACTTTTAGTATTAGAAGCTCTTTGTATACAGAGTAAATAGTCCTTCTATACCTCATTTGTCTTCTAATCCAAATAATACTGAGCCAGTATTTCTTCACATCTGTTGAGTTCATGCTTTGCTTTGACATTTTATTTTTAAACTTCTAATTCTCTCCATAAAGTGTTGATTAAATTTTAATACATGTATTCAAACATATGATTAATTTATCAGAATTCTAATGGTGACAAGGGTGGTATAGGGGAATTAACCTGTTTTTTTGTGTGTGTCTTCGTGATTAAATTACCGTTTCCTTTTCCCCAAAAAGAAAAACTATTGCTGATTTGTGTTTTTCCTATCCTGCCACCCATCAAATACCTATTTTAGTTATAAAGGCAATAAGAAAGTATAGTAGAAAATGCAAATGCAGAAAAGTAAGGAGAAAAGTAAAAGTATCCAGGGAAAAAAGCTCTTCCTTTCTGGTACACACTCACCATCCCTTCTTCTGTATCTCTGTCCTTGCCATCAGTCCTTCCATCTATCCAAACAGCCATTCATTTGTTCAGATTGAATTAACATTTTATAAATGGGATAACCTACTTTTTAAACTCGAGTATATGCCCTGGAAAATCATCTCTCCTGGTATAAATTTATATAGTACGCTGGTGGATATATTTAACATTACTTTTATAAGAAAAAATAAATTTAGGGGCAACTGGCTGGTTCAGTCAGAAGAGCATGCAACTCCTGATCTCAGGATGTGAGTTCAAACCCCATGTCAGGTGTAGGGATTATTTAAATAAAAAATAAAACTTAAAATAAAAAAGTTATTTAACAGGTACCTGGCTGGTTCATTTGGTAGAGCATGCAACTCTTGATCTTAGGGTTGTGAGTTCAAGCCCCACATTGGGCCTAGAGCTTACTTTAAAAAAATATTAAGTAAATAATACGTAAATAAAAATGAAACCAGTTTATTCTTTTAAAAAAATAAAAAGTTACATTAAAAATCCATTTATATTGGTAATGCTACCATTATTATTCTGATGCATTTCCCCACCCTCAGTTTCTGTACTTTTTAATAAAAATGGTATTTTCACTAATGATAATTGGATGGATGGCATGTCAGAGCAAATATGTATCATAGGTATTACCCATTTGTCTTAACAGTTTTGATCTCAATGCAGTTACACTACAGAATTCTGAGAGGCAACAGGCTTTTCAATCAGGGCTTGTAGAATAGCAGCTTAGAAAAACTGCTGAGGAAGTTAGAGTTTAACAGCCTTCTTAACAGCTACTTTACTGTAATACCTTAGAAGGTGATGGTAAAGACACTTCCTCTCTATTCTTTCCCCACTCAGGTTTAGGTAAGTGCTGTATAAATTGATGTGTAATTCGGGATGCCTGGGTGGCTCAGCAGTTGAGCTCCTGCCTTTGGCTCAGGGCATGATCCCAGAGTCTTGGGATCGAGTCCCGCATCAGGCTCCCTCCAGGGGGCCTGCTTCTCCCTCTGCCTATGTCTCTGTGTCTCTCATGAATACATAAATAAAATCTTAAAAAAAATTTTGATGTGTAATTCAAGACTTTGGGGTTAGGTTTTTTTGAGTTTGTTTTTAAGAAACTAATCAAAGAAACTTTGAAGTGCTTTTTATGTAATGGTTTTAATTCTTCTTAATCTTAAAAATGATGAGTCAAATTCCTTATATTTCCCTCTTAAGGAAAATGGTTACTTTTTTTTTTTTAGATTTTTTTTTTTAATTTATCTGAGAAACAGGAGAGAGATATCATGAGCAGGAGGAGGGGCAGAAGGAAGGGAAAGGGAGGGCTCCACACTGAGCACAGAGCCCCACACAGCCTGATCTAATGGCCCTGAGATCACGACGAGCCAAAACCAAGAGTCGGAAGTCCAACCGACTGATATATTATCATCCCCGGCCCCCTGAAACAAATATTTTTTAATTCTTTTGCTCTTTGAATATTTTAAACTGTGCACTAATTCTCTTTTCCTTGAATTTTAAGAAACTTCATTTTTTTGGAAAAAAAAATACAAAATTCTCTTAGGTATTCAGAATTTTAATTCCCAGTACCCTTGTTTTCTTAATGTATAGTGCCTTGCTCAAAGTAGGCATTTAGTAAATACCTGTTGAATAAATTACAAATGACTTCTACCATAGTGAATAGAAGACATAATTTAAGTATACTTGGATTGAATCCCAGTTTGATGTACCACTTTCTCTACATACTGAGTATGGGTGGCGACAGGACAGGGCATACAGAGGCAGAAATACAAGGGTCCAGAAAGTGAGCATTAGTTCCTAGCAAATCATACCTCAGACGAAGGGTAGTGTCTTAGGATAAAGGCAGAATTTCTCCTACGTACAAGGAGAATAAAAAGAAAGTACTCTCTGAACAGATGGATTTGGAATAGTATCTGAAGATCTGATGCAAGTGGGTGGGGTGAAGGAGGGTTTCACCAATAGTGTAACTAGTGTATGAATGCTCTTTTGGCTTAGTTTTAAGTCTTCTTAGAAGAGCTTACTAAGGCGTAGCAGCTGTGTTTAATGGATCAGATGCTTTGGCTTATGAGGACAGTTCAGTCAGGAGCTCTGTCCTCAGAACTGCTTTGGTTTTTTCAGTCTACAGATACCAGTAGAATTTTGATCACTGCGAGACTTTCTTAGTCCTTTTAAAGACTAATGCTTAGTAACTATTTATTAATCATTTAATTTGTTCCACTATAACGCTGTTTATGCTAGGAGTGTAGTCCAAAAAAGGACCAGAAAACTCCTGCATCCCTGGTGGCTTCAGTTGGGGGTCCTTCCGCGAGCTCTAGCACATCCGCCGTGGCCTCTACCAGCTCCAGCTCTACGCCAGCGCAGGAGACCATCTGCCTTGATGACTCCCTAGATGAAGACCTTTCTTTCCATCCACCTGCACTGGATCTTGTTTCTGAAGCTTTAGCTGTTATCAACAATGGGAACAAAGGCCCTCCAGCTGGCACAAGGATAAGTATGCCAACTGCAAAACCTCGTCCAGGACTGAGAGAAGAAAAGTTAGCAAGCATCATGAGTAAACTGCCACTGGCTGCTCCTAAAAAACTAGATTCTCCTCAGACTGCACATTCATCAAGTCTTATTGCTGGTCACACAGGGCCAGTACCAAAGAAACCCCAGGATTTAGCTCATACTGGCATCTCTTCAGGCCTTATTGCTGGTTCTTCAATTCAGAACCCTAAAGTTTCCTTGGAACCTCTGCCAGCCAGGCTGCTTCAACAAGGACTACAGAGGTCGAGTCAGATCCATGCTTCTTCCTCTGCACAGACCCACGTGTCCTCTTCTTCCCAAGCCCAAGTTGCTGCCTCCTCTCATGCTCTGGGGACACCAGAGGCCCAGGATGCTTCTTCGTTAACACAAGTAACAAAGGTGCACCAGCATTCAGCTGTCCAACAAAACTATGTGTCTCCATTACAAGCTACCATTAGTAAATCACAGACCAACCCAGTGGTGAAATTAAGTAATAATCCCCAACTTGCCTGTTCATCCCCGCTTATTAAGAACTCGGATAAGCCACTTATGTACCGCCTTCCCTTATCTACTCCCTCACCTGGAAATGGTTCTCAAGGGTCCCACCCCCTGGTTTCTAGGACAGTACCCAGCACCACTACCTCCAGTAACTATTTAGCCAAGGCTATGGTGTCACAGATGTCCACGCAGGGTTTCAAATCTCCCTTCTCAATGGCTGCATCCCCCAAACTTGCCGCATCTCCAAAACCTGCCACATCTCCTAAACCCTTGCCCTCACCTAAGCCTTCTGCCTCCCCCAAGCCCTCTCTGTCAGCTAAGCCTTCGGTATCAACTAAACTTATTTCTAAATCCAACCCCACTCCCAAGCCTCCTGTACCCCCAAGCTCTTCCAGTCCAAATGCACTAGTAGCCCAGAGTAGCCACTCCAGCAGTAACAACCCAGTCCATAAACAGCCCAGTGGGATAAACCTCAGCAGACAGTCACCCACCTTGAATTTGCTGCCCTCTAATCGCGCTTCAGGCCTTCCATCCACAAAAAATCTTCAGGCCCCTTCAAAGCTCACAAATTCCTCATCCACTGGAACTGTTGGGAAGAATAGCTTGAGTGGAATTGCAGTGAATGTACCTGCCAGCAGAGGTAGCAACCTTAACTCAAGCGGAGCGAATAGGACTAGTCTCTCTGGGGGAACAGGAAGTGGAACACAGGGTGCTACTAAACCGTTGTCTACTCCACATAGACCATCCTCTGCCTCAGGGTCTTCAGTGGTAACAGCCAGTGTGCAGGTATGTATGTTCTATACATTCAAGGGATAAAGTGTAAGATTGTGTGATCTTTCCTGTGAGTCCATTTAATAACCATATGTATAACTTGTTTATAATAGCTTCTTACAACTTATAGACAAGGAATGTTCCTGGTGCTGATGTCATAGTAATGGGGATACTTGGTGGATGAGGTTTTTGTTGGGATGTGGATTTTTTTTTTTTTTTTTTTTTTGGTAAAGTAACACATACATGCTTTTGCAATTTTTGAAAAACACGTAAAATGCATATTTAAAACTATATGTTGTCAAAAGTCCAGAACAAATCAGTGACTTACAAGTTTAACAGACTCTCATTTGTCTCTGTTCTCCCCTTCTCTAGTCCCCCTTTCTCCTGGCAACTTCTTGATTTTTTTACTTAATCAAATTTTACATTCATGGGTTTTTTTCCTTTAATCATTTGTCTTTTCAAAAAAAAATTTTTATTTTGCATGAATTTTACAGCTATTCATATAGAACTCTTCACCAAATTATTGTCAGTATTCTTTTATACCACAGTTTCCCCATTTGTGAGTTCTTAATTTAAATTTATCTCACAGTTAGCAGGAGTGCCTCACTCAAGGAGTCTTTTCAAGAAGGCTAACATGAAACCTATTTTACCGTAGCTCGAGCATACCTGATGATTTCTGTGCTGTCACACTTGAGTATGTATAGACTTCTTGGGTCACTGTCTCCCTCCCAATCTTATACTGTTCCACTGACCTTTGCTTAGTATTGAGGATTATAGAGAAGTTGGAGGCTGTCCAGTATTTTGTTACCTCGTACGTGCTTTTTCTGCTGCCTAAGATTTTCTCTTTTTCCTTGAAATTAAAGTATCAAATTTAATTTTATTTTAATTTTTAAATTTTAATTTTTGTTGATTTTGTACCTAGAATGTGGTAACACTTTTCAGTCTAATAACCTGGTGGCTTTTTCAGTTCAAGAATATTTTGTCCTGTGATGTGTTTCATTATCGTTTCTGATCCATTTGGCCTAGGTTTGTTGAGAACTCTGTATCACTCCTATTTCATCTCTTTCTTTCCACAGCCTGTCACTATTTTCATTTTTCTGCCTCTCCTTGTATTCTGAGAGTTGTCAGATTTGTCTTTCACGGGACCAGTTTGATTTCTTAAATATTCTTCCTCCCTGTCCCTCATCCCAAAAAGTAATACATATTCACTGTAGGCAAATTCACAAAAAAGAAAAATCACCTGTCATCCCACCACTGTTTATATTTTCCTGTTACTTTTTTGGATTCTTGTCAAGAAAGTGAGTTTCACATAATACGCTGTTTCACAACAAGCTTTGAAAAAAATATGTAACATTTTATGATGTATTAGTCATTAGATTATTAAGTGCTTTTTGAAGACATGACTTTTGTTGATTTGTGGAGTTCCGTTGCTTTGTACTGCTTCCTGTGGATGGGGAGTAGGAGCATCTAATAACAGAATGGTTACCTTGCTGTTTGTAGATGTTTTCTGCTCTTCAGTACAAGCTAAACATTTGTATTCATAAATACGTGAAGCCCAAATCATCACTCTGCCATGACTGTAGGCTTAGTAATGAATGAATTTATTCCAGAATTCTAATCTACAACAAAATTCAATTAAATGATACCTTTAGTAGGTGAAATCTGGGACTCACTGATGTTTTATCTGCTTAGTTTTTTATCAGAAATAAAACAAAAACCCTACTGATCAGGGATTGTATGTTAAAATCTAAGTTAAAACTAAGGTCTGGAAGGTAGTCCACATTCCTCTTTGTGTATTACCTTTATTAAAATGTTGACTGTTTTTGACATTAATCTTCAATTTGAGTAAAGAGAATTATAACAGATGCCAGTTTCCTGCCACATGGGTCCTCTTTCCTAGTATCAATTACTTTTAATTCTCTTAGCTTTTTCTGTGTTTTTAAATATTAAGAATGAATGGAAGACAATTTATTCTCTTGACTTCTTGTCATGATAAGGCTTTTAGCTCTGTTTATGCCTTTGCCATTCTCCTGAAAGAGTAAAATTACAACTTTTGCTTATTAAATCTGTGACTAAAATATTGTCTCTGTTGAGCTAAATTGTAAACTATGGTTTCATTTGCTTTCTTATTTTAAGTTTTTGGCTTTTGTCCTGAAGAAAAATTGCCCCCCCCCCCGCCCCTTCACTTTGAATTTAAGGTTAAATGTCTCTCCATCCTTTGTCATCTCCAAAGTCTCAGTTCTATCCCTGTCCCACCATTGCCCACATCCTTCTTGTATTTGATCTTTTACCCCAGGAGAACCTAGATATTTGGCATAACAATTCATTTGTCAGTGGAGAACCTACATGGCAAAATTTGCGTTTCCCTAAAGTAAATGCTTTCTTCTGGTTTTCATCCTTTCCAAAATGACTTTATGATTTTAAGGCCTTAATTTTCCTGCCTTTAGATTTGATCCTTTTTGTTCTATCTTATTGGTTTGACTGAAGAAAAGGTCAGTAATTGAATAAGATTGTGACTTTGGGAGAACCTGTGGTTTGTGGGTTTTTTGGTTTATGTGTTTGTTTTTTTTAATGTAGCCTCTAGATCCTGTCTCTCTAGCACTCTAACACTAAAAGGAGATTCCCTGTCTGTGTCTGCAAACCTTCAACTCCTGTCTGAAAGAGCCATCTGTTCATTTGCAGAGTGAAAAAGACAGGTCCTGAGTTTAACAAGCTAAAATCTTTCTGGGTTCAGATTATTACCTCTACCTGCTTTCTATTTAACAATTTCCTGTTCAAGGCTTTCCTCTTCTTTCTTCCCCTTTGACTTACTCATTTTCTAAGAATTCTGTCTTTGCCACTTTATAATTCCCAAAATAATTCACTCTTTAAGCAAATGTTTTGAAGTGTTTAATATGTGCCAGGCACTCTTCTAGGTGCTGGGAAGATAGGGTGAACACCATACTCAAATTTCTCCTCTCATGGAGCATATATTCGGGTAGAGAAATACAAATGTTTAAAAAATAAAGTGCTATGAAAAATTAGAACAATAATAATAAGGTGCGATGTTGCTAACATAGACAAGGGAGTTAGGGACAGCCTCTTTCAGGAGATAACATTTGAGCCGAGAATAGAATAAGCAGGCCAGTCATTTGGAGACAGTCCAGGCTAGAGGGATGGTACGTGTGAAGACACTGAGATCGGAAGGAGCCTGATGTGTAGGTATGCATGGCTGGACTAGAGAGAGATGGATAGCTGATGAGGTCTTACATCAACCAGAACTATGTGATGAAGGACCTTGCAGACCATGATAAGAACTTGGGGTTTTAATCTGTTGTGCAGTGGGACGCCATTGGAGGGTCTTCAACAGGAGTAGTATGGTTTGATTTATATTTCAGAATATCACTCTGGTTGTGGAGAATGGAGGGCAGATGCACTCAGCAAAATAAAACGTGGTTAAAAAAATTATATATCTCTCTTTCTCTCTCTCTCTCTTTCTCTGTGTGTGTGTGTATATATATATATAAATGCCCACCACAAGAAGAGCATGGTTTTCCTTCATATTTTTCCCTGGAAATGAGATACAGAGGACGTGAAAGTATTTTTTATTATGGAGCATTACCCTGAACTGTGTGCCCGTTTTAGGTTGATAACTTTTCCTGTATGCTTCCAAATGATATCAACAGTAGGATACCTGATTTTGAAAGATCTCCATCTTATAGGAGAAATTTATAAATGCCATGTAATATTTAGATAGTCTGATGTTTCATTTTAGTTTTATAAACAAAAGTGGATATGAAAGTTTTTTGAAAGTACAAAATGTTACGCAGTTATGGCATGATACCTTTTTTAATTGCTCAATTACTTAATTTGGGGAATTGCCTTAATTTACTTTTTCCAGCTATTTTAATACTTCTGTTAACCTCCTCCAGAAAAGCTTGAGTTCTTCTTATTAGCAGTATTTAATGTTCCTCTCTAGGGGGCTCCACTTGGGGCACATGGTTTTGGAGTTGTGCCCCATATTATCCTGAGGTTACAAGAGAATTGTGATCAAAAGAAAACTTTTTAATTCTTAAATCAATGTAGGATCTCTTCTATCCAAATTGCTTCAAAATATCCTTATTTTCTTAGTAATTCTTTCCAGTGTATCCATTTTGTATATCGTGGTTGACCTAGTAAGGGAAAGATTAGAAAATAAGTAGCCAAATCCAAGCATAAGGTGATGAAGATTTGTATTTAAGTGTTAGAGAAAGTGGATTAAAAAAAAAAAAAAAGAATGGGCGTGTTGACAGTTCATCTCGTTTTTTTGTTGTTGTTGTTTTGTTTTGTTTTTTAAATGATGCCTAAAACTAAGGTTTCAAGCCCAGGTGTTGGGAAAGAATGAGACTATTAATGATAGCAGTGGACATATAGGGTGGGGGTCACATGATAGCAGGAGCTGATGAGTTCAGTTGTTGATGAGTGTACCATATCCAAGTGACATTCCTCCCTGAGCTTTTGGATTTACAGGATTGAAACTGAGATGGGGATATAAATTTGAAAGCTACAAAGGAGATAAGGAAAGGGAAGGCTTTTGGAGAAAGAGTGGAAAACCAAATTGGAAGCCTTCTGAAGGATAGTCTTCCCTTTTTGTTTAGCAGTGGGATGGACTCTTAGATGTATAAATGTATGTACTGTGGCATATATGAGATCAATTAACATTTTTCTCATATATTAACTAAGAAATAAAATTATCAGCCCCTTTATTAATAATGTGTACTACTAGAAGAGGAGTGAGCACACACAAGAAACCTGATAATAGTTAACATTGGTTACTAAAAAATACTCAAAGAATTCAGTTTTATTTACTAAATTTAGAAATGTAAAATTTTTGGCCAGGGAAACTTAGAATTGGTAAAGACTACAAAAGGAAATTCACAGTTGCAGAAACTATCATAGGTGATATCTGATACTAAGACAATTTTATTGTAACATTTGTTGATAAGTACGTGTAGAGAAAGTCAAAATGGAAAAAAAAAGTCAATAGGAAAAGATTATTGCTGAATAGAAAATTGTTCAAAGGATTAAATTAGCTTAATGAAGTGTAAGTAATTTCTCAGAGAAAGCTAATTAATGTTAACATATTTCTGATTTAAATGTATTTTTCATACACAGGGCATCAAACAAAGCCCAGATAGTTAAAACATTTTTAACACTAAAAGTGTTAAAACACTTTTTGCCTTAAGGAATCTTAACAAGTTCAGAAAAGTAATAAAAATGGAAACCAGCTTTCAGAGGTTAAGGAGAAATTAGATAATGGGGAAATGAGGGGTATCATTTAGTAAATTTTATTAACAAACGAATACAAATAAGGTTGTTTCTAGATGTTGAGGAAGAGCCAGGAATACCTGTAGTTGTTGTTGTTGTTGTTGTTGTTGTTGTTGTTGTTTTAATACCTGTAGTTGTAAGGAAAGAAAAAAAAAGATGAGATCTCTGTATATGACAAGGCAGAGGAAAAGAGGAAACTTGGAAAAAGGTATAATACTGGATATTTGGACCAGCAAGTTCGGCATAGATGGGATTCATGGCATAGGTAAGATGGTTAGTTTTGGAGAAGAGGCAGGTGAGGCTAATGAAGGAAGAGGAAGACTGACCATTCAGGAAGGCTTCAGTTCCTTAAGACGTTCTGATGGAAGCAGAGGATACTGTTATTACGAGCTCTGAGAGGGTCCTAGTCTGGAACAGTAACCACAGGGATTGTGTCGGGAAAGATGATAAAGCAATGAAATTACCAGGCATTTTCAAAGACCAAATTGAAATCACATGGAATTAATGCCAGTAGCTCAGATAGAGAGGCCAGGAGCAAAAGTGGAAAAGTGGAATTCTGAGGTGAGGAAAGAGTGAATAAGTGTTAATATAGGCATCAAATTAAGTTAAGGAGTTTAACGTGGTGATGAAGAGCTGAGTAGAGAATTATTTCCAAAACCAATATAGCTCTTAGAAATACATTTTCACCTCAGTCTTCATTTTCTGTCTCATAACATTTCTGTTAAAGTGGATATTGGACACAGTCTTGCACCCATGAGAATATTAAATAAAATAAATCAATTCAGGTTAAAGATTTGATTTCTTATGTATTTTGACCCCTGGTTTCTGCAGTCCACAGCAGGAGCATCATTATTGGCTAATGCCTCACCTCTGACTCTCATGACATCACCTTTGTCTGTAACAAATCAAAATGTGACTCCTTTTGGGATGCTGGGTGGCCTTGTTCCAGTGACCATGCCCTTCCAGTTTCCCTTGGAGCTACTTGGCTTTGGAACGGACACAGCTGGAGTGACAACCACCTCGGGATCTACCTCAGCCGCTTTCCACCATAGCCTAACTCAGAGTAAGTACGGCTCTCTCAGCTATTTAGCTACCTAGTTTGACAGAACAGGAAACCTCATGAGTTTATACTCTTTGAGAGACGTCCATTTGGAGCTAGGGAAGGTTACAAAAAAATTTTTTTTAAGAAGTAGTTTATTTCATTTAAATATAGTAAGTCATTTTAGAATCAGTTTTTATCTGTAATTCTTAAATGAACTATACTACATTTCTGTCAATGAAATTAATAATAAGGAAGTCAGATTTGCTGGGTTATTTGCATACACATCCATTTTTATAGAGAAATTTTTTAATGTATGTGCTCCAGTTTAGGAAGGACTTTGAAATCAGGGGCTGTACTTATATTAGATAAATTAAACTATTTTATTTTTGATCTAAGAGAGCTTAAATCCTAGGTTGAAGAAGATTACTGACAAGTCTTTTTTTCTCTCAGATTTACTAAAGGGTTTACAGCCAGGAGTTCAGCATGCAGCAACACTTTCCCACTCACCTCTGCCTACACACTTACAGCAAACATTCAATGGTAAGAAAGCCACCTATGTTTTCATCTTTTAATATTTATGTAGATTTATAGATTGGATTATAAGTCTTTTCTGAAAAGTGAAAGGGATGACAAAGGTTGGAAAAAACATTTTCGTATGACTGAATCTTCATTAGCAACAAATTCCTTATAAGAAAAAGGAAATAAGTAAATGAGATCTTTTGTTACCTGCAAAAAAAAGCCTTTCTGAAAACATGTATTTGTTATATTGAAATGATGACAAGAGGATTTCATAAAACAGTGTACAGAAATCCCATTGTAATGGTTCACATGCAGGTTTACTAAGCGCCAGATAGTTTTGTGACTACTTATATGTATTAGCTAATTCAGTCCTTACAACAGGCCTGTGAGTGAGCTAATGACGATCCCCATTTTTATAGATCAGGAAACTGAATTTTGAGATAAGCAACTTGCCCAAGATGATAATCCTAGGAAGTGAGCTGAGATCCAAATCTGGGAAGTCTGACTTGGTAGGCTGTATTCTTTTTTTTTTTTTTTTTTAAGATTTTATTTATCCATAAGAGACACAGCGAGAGAGACAGAGACACAGGCAGAGGGAGAAGCAGGCTCCCCACGGGAAGCCCAACGCAGGACTTGATCCCAGAACCCCAGGACCACGCCCTGGGCCAAAGGCAGACACTCAACCACTGAGCCACCCAGGCGTCCCTGTAGGCTGTATTCTTAACCATTACACTCTTCTCCCTTTTTAGCAGTGATTCAGTCTATATGATCCAAACTGTATGCATGAGATACTTGCAGGCCAACTAGATCACCCTGAAATCTGAAATTAGATAGTGGACACTGCACATCACGTATTGGCATCCAGGTTCTTGCTTCCATCAGCACTTGACCTCGGTAGGCTGTCCATACTATTCTTGAAGACCATTGTCAGGATCTTTTGGACAGAAAACTGTTCAGCTGTTCTCTGAACTTTAGTGGTTGGATGGGGCTTTGCTATTCTTCTCGGTCCCTGCATTTAAAATAATCTTGAGGGATGCCTGGATGGCTCAGCGGTTTGGCTCCTGCCTTTGGCCCGGGACATGATCCTGGAGTCCCAGGATCAAGTCCCATGTCGGGCTCCCTTCATGGAGCCTGCTTCTCCCCCTGCCTGTGTCTCTGCCTCTCTGTGTGTGTGTGTGTGTCTCATGAATAAATAAATAAAATCTTTAAAAAAAAATGATCTTGAACAAGTTTACAGTTGACCACATTTAGAAATGGGAGCTATGTGGCAATCACAAGGCAGCAGGTTATATAATTAATCCTGTTAAAAAACCTAAGTGGTAAGCTGCCCCAGACTCAGCCCTCCAAAGAATGAATGTAACTTTTATATAGTCACTTTATGTAAAATATAAATTTCTATAAAGGCCTAAATAGTAAGTATTTTCAGCTTTTGTGTTAGTCTCTATCACAGCTACTCGACCCTGCCACTGTAGTGCAAAAACATAGACAAATAATGTTAACCTAAGTGTAGCTGGGTACCAATAAAACTTGTACCAGATGGTGGGCCACATTTGGCCCTTGGGCCAAACCTCTGTCTAAAGAAGCATAGTCCAGTTAATAGGAGTATTTTATTTTGCTAATTTACCCCTGCCTCTTTGAGCACAGTCCTAGCCATTTTATGATAGAATTTAGTCATACCTCAGGTCGAATAATTGTCTCTACAAACACAAGTACATAATGTCTCCTTGTAAATGGAAAAACTAATTCCTCAGATGTTGTCACCAGAGTTATTTTAATAGTGTTCTATTTATACAGCTTTTGAAACAATCCTGTTTCACTGATCTATCTTTTCTTCACTAGAGCCAGTTTGGTTTTTTGTTTTTTGTTTTTTCAGGTTTTACTGGAGTAATTTAGATATCACATAAATGAGCCTAGCAGTGTGACATGGTCCTTTCCAGCCATAGGATTGATCTTCTAGTACCGTAATTTGATACTTTCACTTGTGTGTCTCTACCATTCATTCCTCCCCTGACTTTTTCTCTCAGGCCTAGGAGATTAAGGCTCATTTTCCTTGCAAATTAGGCAATAACCTATTAAACTTCCTCTACATTTTGTTAGCTCTCAAGGTCACTGGGTCCTACTCTTGCCCAGTTTAAATAGAATAACCAACATTTTCCCAACAAAAGTTAAAAAGCCTTGTGTAAACCTAGAAGTCATTGTTTCCAGTAGCAGACTTTTCCTATCACAACTTTTGCCAGGTTAGGACCAAAACAAAGTCTCAGCTGGGTTTTTCACTTACTAGTATGTCCCATTCATTTACATAAATAATTGAGAATTAACTATCAAATGCTGTGTCATGGCAAGAAATTTAATTTCACTTGCAAGAAAATGAAATTGACCTTGTCTTCTAAAGGAATCAAAAGATATGGTAGGGGGCAGCCCCTGTGGCCCAGCGGTTTGGTGCCTGCCTTTGGCCCAGGGTGTGATCCTGAGGCCCTGGGATCGAGTCCCACATCGGGCTCCCTGCATGGAGCCTGCTTCTCCCTCTGCCTGTGTCTCTGCCTCTCTGTCTCCGTGTGTCTTTCATGAATAAATAAATAAAATATTTTTTAAAAAATAGTATTTCAACTGAAAACCAATTGAATCATAGTCACTTGAGATAAAAGGATCATTTTTGTTGAGTTCATTTATTTCCTTAGGTTTCTTAGCTTCTGTAATGTGCTATACCATGTAAGATATTAAAGGTTGTCTTTTAGTAATGTCATTCACATGGAAATTAAGAGTTAATTGTTCTCCTTATTTTTATCTATTGTTTTTTTGTAACATGCTAACCCATGCCAATTAAACATCTCTCTTCTCAGATGGAGGCCAAAGTAAAGGGGACACTAAATTACCACGGAAATCTCAGTGACTTCCCAGCAAGCGATGGAGATGAGACACTCAGCTGGCTGATGGAATCTACCTGATGGGAAAGTCCTCATGTGGTCATAGGGCTGCTGTTCTGTCGATGTTTACATTCTCTCGTCCCAAGCACTGTGGTGAGGAGGAAAAAAGGAAAGAAAACATGACTTGAGTAAAGCCAGATGCAGGAAGAAGAAATGCTTTCGTGCAAAGTTAGTGACCTTTGGTCTCCTCTAAAGAAAGACAAGTTACCATATTAACTGACTTGAAAAAGACTCAGTTGTCAAACCCACAGAAGTACAAATTTGATTTTTCCCTGGGGAAGGAAGAAGGAATCTGAGGATTTGGGTATACTCCATCCATCCTGGGGGTTGGATTTGAACACTTGTAGACATAATTGCATAATAAAAGGCAATATATCTGGAATTAGGCCAGTTTGTCAGGAGTAACAATCATGTCTATTTGAGTGGACTATGCAGCAAATTTGCCACACAAAAAAATTAATGACCCTGTGTCTGATACAGACAGTAGCTGAGTAAATATTGTACCCTCACAAGTCCTGAACAAACTTGAATCTTCTCCAGTGTGTAGCAATTTCCCATGTAAATCAGTGGACTAAAGATGCTTCAGGAAAGTTATTTTAGCACAGTGATATATATTATTAAATCATCAAGATTTTTAAAAGTCAAGAAATTGAGCCTGTTGCTCTTAACAGATGAAACTTCGATGTCCCCTTTTTGTAAAAGGGTCCATTTCATCTTCCATTCAGAAGCAGGTACCTAACTCTTCTTCAGGTGATTTGTGCATCTGGTATTGATTGGTTAATTCTTATTTCCATTCTTGATGTTAAATGTGGCTGTGTTCACATTTTTCTCTTCAGAAGTGGGGATCTTTGACGTAGGGCTGCAACTTTGGTGCTCTTAGCCCTTGCAGGCCTACCACTCTGAACTGTAAATTTCCCCAACTTCCCCTTGGTTCACAACTTCTCCTGGTCTTTTAGCTAGTGGTACTTCAGGTGATTCTTAATTACTGATATAGACAGGTATAAGTGTGTACTGCACATGCTTCTACATTGGTCATTCAAATGGCATATATATATTTTTGGAATTTTTAAGATAGTATTTTAAAGGGAGGAATTACATTAGGATCATTATGTGTACAAGGGATTATTTTTTATAACAATCACAATATATTTTTACTCCCTGTATCCAGTGTAGTGAATTTGATTTGGAGCATTTGGGATCTTAAAGCTTTATTAATATTTACTGAGAATATTGATATGTGAGTAAACCTGCAGATAATAATAAGACTGCTTAGTTATTATTATAGCTTCCTTATGCAAATACATCTTCAACAAAGGATGTTAAGGGAGAAATTTATGGTTCTTTTTGGATACATTTGATTTGTTTTTGTTTTGCCTCATCATTTATCTTGTCTCTGTCAATCTCTCTCTCTTTTTTTTCTCCCTATTTAGGCTTCTGAATGTTTTCAAACTGTACCCAAGATTGGTGTAAGCTTGATCCATTTATAACAAAAAAATAACCTAGAAAACAGTGTCAGATTGGTAGTAGCAAGATCACATGTTTTCCTTACAAGTTTATAAATTTATTCAAATAAGTATATTAAATAAGTGGCCCTTTTTCCTTTTATAAGCAAAAGTCCCAAATAGCCATTAGGACTGAATAAGTTACCACAGATCTGTTCAGATTTGTATCACTTGTATTTTGACTTCAAAGTCACATTGGCTTGCTTCATAGCAAAAAGTTAATAAGTAACTGAAAACTTTAGTTCCAAGAACTTGTTACAGTAAGAGGAAAGGATTATTTCAGAAGAATCGATGTAATTACTTGCCTCTAAGAATTTAGTTTAGCAGTAAAACAAATAAGAACCCCAGTAGATATTTTGGAAGGATATTGGGATGTTCCCGAGAGATTTGACTTGAATATGTTTGATTAGAGTTATTTGGTTTATTTAATTAGGGAAACTTGCCCAATTCTTGAGTTACTCTAATGTAGTATTCCTGTTGCTTGTACCTAAATTGGAGAAAGTCATCTTTGCTAATACTATACAGGAGTTTTCCTTTGGGAAGCTAGCCTTGGTGTCACTTCCCACACCACGAGAGTCAGAGTGAGTGTTAATTTCTCTTTCTGCTGATAGTTGTGCATGCATTCATCTGTTTGCAGGTATACACAGATTTATTCCTGTATACAAATCCATTACTAGTTTAAGTCAGGGAATAATTTCAATTTCTTAAGTCCATCAGTTCTGAATCATGCCACATAAAGATTCCTGATGATTCTTTTGTCTCCATTAGAGAAGAACAGGACTATCAATTCTTCCCCCAAGTATTATTTTTTAACTAACCAGTAAAAATATCTGAAGGCCCTTGGTCAGAGAAGTCCATATAAATGGAGATGATATTCTCTTCTCTTCTGTCTTGATTCCGTGAGGACGCCATATCCCTCCCTCAGCCCTATACCACATTTTCACTAACTTACATCCGTTTCAATCAAGACTACGCTTTTATGTTGTACAAATGAAACAAGCATCCTTATATTTCTTAATAGATAAGTATGATCAGAGAGCTCCTACATGTAAATACAGAACTATTTCTTTTCTAGATCATAACATTGAAAATGGTGTCCATACTTTATGGGCACCTGTCTTTACAGTTTTTCTTACTAAATACAAACATATAAATTGGTTATTTTTTAGCACAGAGACTTGTGACTCATACTGTATTTTTGCACTTAAAAAGTCAAATTATGTTATTTTTTAAAATGGTGAGTAATCGGAAAGGATATAGAGCAATGTGTATTTCTGAAGAGCATTAGCAACATCCCAATGCAAAAATAATCAGCACACTTAATTATGTCCCACTCAGCGGGATTCTTGATTCAGGAAAATTAAGCTGTTTGTTTTCAATTGTCTTGTATTTAAATTGCCTTCAGTGATGTATAAGCTGTTACTGTACATACAAGTTAATCCTCAGTATTCACAAGCAATAACGGTCAGCAGAGTTGTCTTCAGAGACAGCAGTGCTGAGCCTCAGTTGGAGACTGTTTGGGAGCAAAGTGTCAAGCTCATTCAGAGCCTCCAAAATCAATGCAAGCAATAATTCCACTATAACTCAATTGTAATTCTTTCTCATCTGCTTCTGAGATCAGAGGGTAAAAGAAATTATGGTTTAAAAATAACCTGAAGAAAACTGGGAAAAAGAAGTGAAGTTAATCTGAGGAAATCAGAGGATTGTGTTCCTACATTCTTTTATGCCTACCACCCCTTTGATGGATGGTGTTAGCCCAAATTATATATATTTTTTAATATCACAGAAGTTGAATAGGGTTTATTGCATCACTGAGGTAGGAGGAAAAAACCGGGCAGATACATGTTTGGATACTGTGGGTTTGACACCTGTCTGAAAACAACTTACTGGAAAAGATTTTTAACCCAGGATCTTTTTTTTTTTTTTTTTTTTTTTTTCCCCAAAGCAGATCTAAATTGTTTACTACCCAGGTTTGGAAAGGGCAGGCCCTTCTAGTCTTTCTTCTCCGGTTGCCCTTACCACACCCCTTCCCGCCTCTACTTGGTTCACGACAGTTTCTGAGATGGAAACTCTACTGTTATTCAAACTGCCATTGATTGTGAGAACTCTCTGTCCCTTGGGACCGTCTCCTAGAACTCCAGTTGTCTATCATACTTGCTGCTACACTTGTACAATGAACTTTGCCTGTATTGGTCGATTATAATCTAATTTACAGTTCTTTATCTCTAGGAGGTTTTGTCATATAACTTGACCCATCCATGTATAGAGTTAGGATACTTTATTTTAGGAGTGTACCATAAAAGCACACTGGTCCCTGTATTCTTTTTATTATCACGTAGGTTTTGAATTTGTGTTGGCTTTTTGTTGTTGTTGTTGACGTTTTGTTTCTCTTTGTTTTAAATTAGAAATAGCAGAATGAGAAAAATCTATAATCAGGCCAAACTTGAGAACTTTCCCTTGTGCTTCAGCATTATAGATTCTGCTAACCATATGTTCTCAAAAGGGGCACTTTTACTTTCTATTGTGCATGTATGATGGTTTTGTTTTGTTTTTTGCTTTTGTAATAATGAAGCAGAAGAAAAATCCAGTCGTGGGTAAATGACTGATGACAAACATGTTATGCAATTTTATTTTATAAAATTGAAGGGGAAAAGTTTAACTCTCTGTAAATCATTTCTTAGCTCTGGTAAAATGCTTATATTACTCCTCTAAAACATGCTCAATTCAGGCCTTTGTCTTTGTTAAGTGCCTTTTGTTTTCTTTCTTTTTTCCCCCCTCTTGAAAGTGTTCTCAGATATCCTAAAGTACAGGCTAATAAGTCAGGGGATTCAGGAGGAAGAATCTCAAACTTGCCAACGTCATGTCATTGCTGTAATACTCTTCCTTTTCTTTATATGTATAAGGATATATGTGTAAGATACATACATATATATGTGTATATATATGTAATATATATATATATATAAATAACTAGTAGCTGCTGTACCATTGCATCCTTTTCAGACACATCCCTGTCAGTGTTTGCAAAACTTCTGGCTTGTTTATTCCATTGCTTTTAGTCAATTGAAATGGGTAGATTGGGAAATTGTCTTTACACAAGATGCTATCTTCCCCCTTTGAATATCTGTTTGTTGAAGTTAACAAAAATACATAAATATAATAAGTCATTTATTTTAAGTAAAATAAATTTAGTGGACTCATTGGCTATTCCTGGATATAACCCACTGCTCTGTGCCCTTCACACTTGGCATGGGTAATACTGGAGAAAGCATTGGAATAACAAGAGTCTTTTGAGGGTCCCATTGATAAGGCGTACTGTGGCGGGCAAGGCTAAGGATGTCGGGGAGCTAGAGTTCGAAGCTCGGTTTCGTATCTGAATAGGTTTTGAAGGAAGTTAGCAACTTTGTCAACATTAAACATGCATCATATTTTCTTGTGGAAAATAAGTTTTGAAGAATTCATACAGCTGCATATCTGTGAAAAGGTTAATAAACTTAGAAAGACTTCAGATACTCATGTAAACACTCATATAACCTATACTATTCTTGAGAGATCTTCAGTTTTCTTTTCATTTGCCAGATAATTACATTTGGCTTAATCTGATTTTATGGCTGTTTAGATTTCTCCCTTGAGCAGAATGGCATCATCTTCAGTATCTTAAGAGTCATCTGTTTCTTGTTGGAAACAGATCTGCACATTAAGGGAGACTAAGTTGAACCAATCCTGAAAGCCCAGTACAAATATGTCTAATAAGTGCCCCCTTTTAAAGACCTTTCAATTGGGAAGAGGAGACAGGTGGCTAACAAGAAAGCAGCGGCTCCTGGTGGTGTTACCTGATAGCCAAGCACTTATCAGGCAGCCTCAATTCAGACATGTTACTCTGG